CGGCGCGCAGGAGGCGCAGCACCGGATCTGCCGAGTGCAGTAGAGTAGTTTGGTTTCGCGCAGATGCTGCGAGTGGTAGATAGGATAGCGTAGTGCTAGTTAGGATCTTTTGAGAGTATAAAGTAGATCAAGGCGTTTTGCCTTGGGACTCTTCCAGTTTCGGAAGTGCAGATCAGGAACTCACTTTCTTGGCGTGTTTGTGCATTTTGGTCCTGGCACCACGTAGAGAAGCTGCAGCATAGCGAAGTTACCGTATGTTGTAGTTGAAGGCCTTCGGCTGAATGTTCAGAGCTAGTACCCGGTTAGAGACTTGAGTAGTGCGGATCTGCACCTGCGGGTGATTTCTGATACTCAGAGCCGGCTGCGAGTTAGATACTTGAACAGTTCCCCCTTACTCCTTCGAGTGACATATCCTGATTGTACTCCTACGGGAAGTTTCCCCTGAATGCCAATGTGAAGTTTCATTACTTCGTGTAAACCTTGGTTTGTAATTCAGGTTGTGTGTGTGTTACTGGATCGTGTTTTCAGTAAGTTCTCAGTCGGGTCTGCACTCCCTGCGTTTTGTGTGATAGTCGAGGGTGACGTCCACGGCGTACGTAGAGGCTTCGTTCCGAAGTGAGAAGTCCAGTCCGGGTACCCCCGCTAGTTCCTGGCGGAAGGGCAGTAAAAGCCGGAGTGGGAGGCACTTCCTGCAGAACCTCTGAGTGAACTTGCGAGACACTTTCCTCCTGAAATCCGTAGCGGAGGTCCTGACCGACCTCCGAGTTGTGCTTTTTGCCAGTTTCAGGTGTGTGTGTGTGTGTTGAGTGACCAAGCTGTACCGTGCATCCTCCGAGCATCCTCCGAGTTGAGATCCTCCTCCGAGTCGAGCCTCCGAGTCGAGCACTGCAGTATTTCTGGGAGTGACAGTCGCCTAGAATTCAAACTCTACCAAAAGTCTGTTAAATGTGACACTTTTACTCTGTGTGTTGCCTCTGTCCCTGTGGGTTCGATCTTTTTACCACCATACTGCAGTTTTAGCCTTTGGTGGGTTATTACACACTAGCTGACTATGACGCATGAGACGGTGGAGACTCACAAACCAGAACTGATTGCCAATATGAAGATAACTGCTTTGAACTATCGAGAAAACAATCATTTCCTTATAAAAATGTAAAGAGGTAAATTAAGCAGGTTTTAGTTTTCAAATAAAAAATCTCATACTGACTCTACAGTAGCTTTAGACGGACATATCAAAACAGTGAAGTTAAGTGGACTTCTGCCCCGTCTGTGAAATGTAGGGTGTTTAAGTTGGTAAAAAAACTTCAAAGCACACCTTTCCACCCTTTCCTAGTGCTTGTACAGAACTATGAAGGGGTGGAAAATTTTATGGCTGGAAAAGTTGTAAAGTGAGTGTGACACGGATGTAAGAAACAATGAGGAGTGCAAGAAATTTACAATGTTTTTGGAGTGCATGTCATAAATACTCCACGGAATCCGGGTCTTCAATGTCCTCTTGTGCAAAATCCAAGCAGAGCGAGAAAGCAATCATCAATGAGACTGTCATCATCCCCAAGAAAGCACCAGAGTGGCTAGCATGAGGATGTGATGATCATTTGATGCAGATCGGCCTTCCTGTGATGTTTGCAACAGCGCCTTCTATTATTTCACTTTATAGAGACTTAATTTAGCTCGTGTGACCTACTTTAGCTCTTACTGAAATCAATCTATGACAAACCTTATCATATATTACGGGCTGGTTAGCTCATCTTCATCATTTGTTAGAAAAAGACTTCCACATTCCGATTGCAACATCGGAATATTGGAACAATAACTGCAAATAAGAAACCATAAAAACTCAAAATGGATGATCATCAAGAATTTTACTTTTCGTGTATATCTTGTTTCCACTTTATGTGCATCGTTCTAGTACATTTTCAAGATGGGTCTACATATTTCAAGGTACAATACACGAAATAGCAGTTCAAGCATCGGTTTTATCTTTTTGTCACTTATAAAAATTATAAAGTGGCAAATTTGATTATCCTCTGAAGAAGTGATATGATTCAAAGTCAGAAGTGCACCTTTCAGGAGAATTCATTTTGGGGATATTTATCTCACGATCCTGCTGCTTTCAAGGGAGTTATCTTACGATGAAGAGAATCTGAATACGATCCCTGTAGATTTTCAGGCCCTGTTTGTCCAGTGGTTGTATCTTCACGTGCAACCTCCTCAGTCTCATCTTCAGTTCTGTGAGTGAAAGTAAGGTACCCTTCATTGATTCATTGGGGAAAAGCAGAACTGTTGTTATGATGAGATATGATCGTATCTGATTCTCTCACACTTGATTGAAGCTACCATTCTAGTGATAAAGGGGCTGGGTATCGAGGGCCCGAAGGACCTGAAAAAGACCCCTAGAGGGGATATCAACTTTTTCCTCCAATCTGCTTAGCACCTAGAGATAAAGGACAACTGGGTCCACAACTGCAAACGCAGAAAGTTCTCTGCAAACTGAGCAGAAAGAGTCAACGGAGTATGTGGACTGTAGTCAGAGTTTATGTGTACGTTCTTTGGATCTCAAGCTCGTTACGCTTCGAAACTTCACAACTTGCTGGCTGGCTGGAAACTCATTAAGACGAGATTCAGAAGAAAGCTTGCTCAAAGAATGCCCATCTCCTTCGACACCTCCCTGGTCACGAGATGATAATTCCTCAACTTCTTTGAAATACATGGAAGCTGAACGCAAGGACAGTAAATTCTGTTTCTCTCTACTCTCAGAGCATTAATACTTTTCAAGATGCATGTGAATACTATACTTTATACTATGATGCGCTTATATTTGTCAATGTAAGCGCTCTAGAAGGCAAATTCACCTGCTCTGATTTTTTCACAAACTCCCTTTGCTCCTTGACGAGTGGACCTCACATCTGAAGTGAGACCCCATGGCTCAAAATTAGTTTGAGTTCGGAAGACTAAATATTCGCTATAGCATGTATCTCCGGTAAGATGTCTTCATCAGCCGTTTACCTTCAAAAATGTCATAGCGCTTCCTTCTTCTGTGTTTTTTTTCAATTTAACTGTAAAGAAATTAAAAAAATATTATATATATATATATATATATGAATTCCCTGATAAATATTTGCTTGAATCAAAGATGACTTTCCTTCCCACGACATGCGTAGATGCTAGATTCTACTGTTTTGACACGCCTTGATTACTTCTTTTACATTCAAGCCATAATTGACCTCATAATTGATTATTTACCTGAGGAAAGAGAGGATCTGGTCGCCTGTACCTGAATAAGAGTGCCTTGACTGATTATAACTCCTCACCCGAACGTATACTGTGAATTAACTCAATCTACCCTCTTCACTATCTTCAACTGGAAGGAAAATTGCAATCAAAAGTGACGCCTACAATAATCATATACCAACATCCGTTGTACATACTAAAATTGTAAGAATACAAGTACGGGTACAGTTAGAGGAATATGCTTCTTGGATGCGCAATTTGTCTATAGGTCTTAAAATCCGAGTGAAGACATCGAATTTTCATAAGATTCACATGTAAATACATTTCTACTCAATGTTTCAGAGTTTTTTCCAAAACCTGTAGCTCTTCGTGCAACACTCTCATGGATCCTGATATTGATGATTTTCACGATCACAATTCAGTTAGGAGCTCCAAATTCTGAGGAAGAAAAGGTAGATTAAATGAAGGACGATCAGGTTTCACACTTTTGGAAAGGTGATGGATGGATCTCGAGTGAGTACAATTTCACTGGTCAACCGCCGACCGAGCGTATTGCAAAATCAAAACCGATTACAGTTGTTCGAGATGCACGTGATATGAACAGTATAACTGGCTGTCACATTGTAGAGGAAAGCATGAGACTTTGAGGTTTTCTTCCAGGTCTTTGCAGGTCAACAGGATGAGTCACATGTAACGCAACGCACATGGTTCGAGGGAGAAAACGAGATATCCTCTTGTGATTTTCTAAGGTTTTGTCGTTAGTCGAGATTCCAGATTGCCCAAAATTAGCTCCGGATTTCTCATAATGTCCATCGCAATGTTCTAAATGTATTTATCGCAGCTCTAAGACTTGGACATCTGAGCCACATAATAGAACCGTTAAGAAAATCACACACAGGTATATGTTACTGTATTGAGCTTTTTTCACTCAAGATGGCATAATATGGAGAAACTGGCATGTGTTCCAAGTATATCGTTGCTCAAATCAAGCTTTTTCGTCAATTAAACTCATTGAATCCAATCCATGGTGACGAGATTGAATGAAAGGCTGGCAAATTGTAATAATTCAGATGACTGTCAACTTCGAAAAAATTCATGACTTTGGATATAAAAAAATCATTTCAAGACAGAATGACAGTTGACCGCAAAGAGGCAGTCACAGCTCTTGTTCAAATAATCTATGACATTTAAGAATGTTAGTGGAGGCCAAGATTCGTACTCTATTTTCTGAAGAAGCAAAGCTCTACCCAAACTATGTCGGAAACCCTTCCGAGCTGATTTTCACTTTCGATTTTCAAGTGTCGGCTTGTGGTTCTGGGCAGTGCCGTGAGACTGGCGGTTTCGAACTTGTTCCCGTTTTCGTTGGAACTCTCCCCCCTGGTGCTTCGTTCTGGCACTCTATTGCAGCACTTCCAAGCACACTCCGCTTCCTTTCTCTCTTCCGCCTGTTTGTGTGGGTGCTATTTCTGGAGCTTGGTGAGGTGAGACCAAGCTTCGTGGCTTTTCTGTGTTTGGTATTTGGTATTCTAGGGTCTTCCGCGGCTCGGGTATGATTTACTTCTGGCTGGTGGAGGTGGTGTCTGCCTGGCGTATTTGCTTCTGCACCTCCGTCTGGTGCTCGTTGTCTTTTGCTCGGCTGCTATTGTTTGTTGGTCACTGCTTTCCTTGCCTGGCGCTGGCTTCGGTGTGTTTTTGTATTAACGCTGTTTCGCAGTAAATTGAATTGAATTCATGCTGAAGTTTCTGCAGGTTTTCAAGAAGTGCATTGGATGCGAGAAGCGGGCTTTGGATTGGAGCGGAGGCAGGAGGAGAAAGATCATGGTGCGCCGAAACTGTACTTGCTCCGATCGTGAAGCACACATGTCATTCTCTCGTAATTTTTTGTCTCAGGTGAGGCTCGCTTTGGACGAGGGGGCTTTTCAGACCTTCTTGGTGCTTTTGTTTTCATGGAAGCTGGGAGGAGTTACTACTTCGTACCTCGTGGTAAACCTCAAAGACATCATTCGAGATCATCCGAATTTACTCCAAGAATTAGATCTTTTCTTACCTTCAACGGGCTTCAAAAACCGGAGGAGGAATCCTCAATGACTCCGATAATATTGGTCGAAGGCGAAAATTTCCGCGTGAAGTACATCTCAATGGTCCAATCGTTGAAGCATCTCATGATCCAGTGAATTACTTCTGGGCAGTTGTCTGCATCAAATGTTTGGAGATAGAAACGAGCTCTAGCATGCTTACCTTGGACATGTTTCTGGAGGTATACCATGGGCTTATTGTTTTGATCTAATTTCCAGAAATTCTTGATAGACTTCACATCAAACAGTCACGATATAGAACCCTCATTCCCTATAAGGGTCTCTGGTGGTTAAGGTTTTATAGAAACATCCATAATAGTTTCAAAAGAAAAGCTAGTCTTTTACCACGGCTCATACGCTATAAAGCCCATAAATGTCCAGTAAAATTGTTTTCTTTTTAAACAAATATTTTTAGATAAGTATATGTTTCCTTTCGTACGTCTTTTTCTAAGAACTAGTGGGAATACTCGCGTGTTCCTTGCCACGTCGAACTCGAAAGATCTGAATGCAGACTAGCTACATCATGTCCGCGATGGTTAGATGTTGAAGAAAGGTAGTTGCTCCTCTGAGATCATAATGCTCTACAGAACACCCTATGAACTGCTCAACGTTCGTACTGTTTGTGCATACTTTCTGCATCCCATATAATCGTAGCAAATCTTAAGAGATGTTCATGATGTAAAATGTGATACTTTTTGGAAATAATATCTATAGATGACCTTAGATCTAGAAGAAGTTTCAACTGAACTTTGGTTTATATTATGTCGTTCAAGGATAGTTCAAGAGGAGAAAATTTTAAGTAACTCGAAAATTCTAAGTAGCTCAGAAATCCTTATTTATATGTAAGATTTCATTTACCAGCTGCCCTTCCAAGGATTTGAACCTAAGTTTGAAGGACCAATTCACTCAACCGTATCACTTGGGATCAGGTGTGTACAATATAAACCTCGGAGCATGCAGGAATGGAGACTCGATGTATGTGCGTTCATTGAAATAAGAATCTACCTTAAAGGGTGTCGGAACATATGGTGGAGAAGATAACAAGCCTATATTCGTCCTATCCGTGTGACTTCGAGTATCGTTCCAAATACTAGTTAGTGTAACGTCAGGAATTGCTCATAATCATACTATCATATTCTATTTACTTCTTTCTTTCAGATGACAAAAACCCCAACGTAAATCAGTTAGAGATCACTTCACAACTAACCTAGAATATTTTGACTAGCAGGTCACACAAGTGAGCACTTTCAGATGCGTGAGGCTACAACGACAAACCAATCCAGCCCGTGAGAGCTAGGTTTTGTCCACCCCTGGACGACAAGTTCCACCTCCAAATCTCCTCTGTGTCACTGTAGCAAATATTCTTCACAAGTTCATGTGAGCCAAACCTGAGTATTCCTCAGTTAGCTCTAACCTTACAGACGGTGTTTCCCTGTGAGTATTAGAGAACCAGAAAATGACGCTTCAACTTTCACGACACACCAGCAAATCCATTGTTGAATCTTGGAGTCTAGATCGATCCGGGTCATGCCTTGCAACTTCCATCACCTTCACATCTGGTCTGCAATGGAGTCTCACTTCTCTTAGATCGACAACACTCAGATAGGAAGCCAGAGGTACAGCAGCGTAGAAAAACACAACACTGTAAACTGATAAGGAATCTAGGAAGAAAACATGTAAGAACGAAGACCCGGCAGGACCCGCAAGCTCCAGTTAAATAAGTAGAGGCCACTCAAAAGAGGCGGCGCCGAAAACCCACTCAAAAACTCACTCAAAAACTCTAACTCCTAAAACTTTTCCAATCCTATCCCCGCGAGAAATCAGTATCTCATATCCTACTTTTACTCGAGTTAATCCAAAAATCACGTCTGCACCACCTGCTTGATCGTCAGCTTCTACTCCATTTTCTTATCCTTGTCCTTGACTTTGTGGCTGACTTCTCTCGGTTGACTTTTCGGGACCGGAGAGGTGACAGATCCTTAACATTTTTAGCTACTTCTATTGAGCCGGTTTTGTCTAACATACTAAACGGATCATTTCAAGTATGCTTTTAACTCCTTAACTAAAAAATGAAAACTACTAAAACTCTTAGTTTTGGATTTAGGCTAATCCAGAAATTTTAGTCTTTGGAGTTTCTCACAAAGGGCCTCGCAGGTTTCATCTAACACCTCCAATTTCAATCCTGCATAACCTCTTCCTCAAATTTAAGTTTATACTTCCAAAAGTTTGGAATTAGACAAAATATTGAAGATATTTCCACATATTTATTGCAGATCAAGTAGCACGCCAAATGGAGACTCGGTCTCCATTTGGCCATCTCTTTAATTCGCCATCTCTTAAACTACATCAGGTCATCTAGACGTGGTTTCTTAAGTTCAAATTGCGCACACAAATTTTTTGCCTTCAGCAGGATTGAATCTTTCTTTAACATCAGGTTCGGCGTTATTACTCTACGACATCCCACTCGCTTCTCGTGTTGAACTATTTAGAACAAGTCCTATCTACCGAACTTTTGATCACGTCGCGAAATAATATTCTCACAATCCTTTGCTGAGTATAATTTTACTCAAGCAGCGATTTTGGGTTCTTCTTATATGTACTGAACAGCTTTGAAGACAGCTGTGATCTAAAAGCTTTAAACATGCTTGAGTGATCAAAACAGCTTGAGCAGAACTCCCAAGTCTGCATAATTCAAAACAATGTCTAGCATACTGACAACGAAATTTTTTCACTTCATAAAACTGAGCTTCTGATTTCTTTTGAATCATAAATCTAGATTCGATTGGTTACAAGGTCCTGTTTTATGCGCCAGCTGTAAAAGTGAATGAAATTGTTACAGTTCATGAATCTGTACGTCTGAGCTCTTTGGACGAGTAAATCTAGATTCGACTAATTATAACATCCCATAATATGCGCCAGCTGGAAGAAGAGAGACATATGTACACCTTGCATGATTTGGTTGCAGATTGCAAATGTGCACGAAAATCCTATGGCATTGAACATGAGCATCTTCAGCATTTTCGGCGTTGGAAGTGTCAGTATGTTTCCAGCCTTTTATGATCGGTGTGGTATGGTTCTTCACGATCAGTTCTGCGATCCAGCTGAATATTTCAGGGAGTGGTACATCTGAAGGAGCATCCAAGACTCGAAACTCGACTTTCTTGCACGTGGATTAATGTCGAGCAACAATGCGCGCCCGAATTGTACATGTGAGGATCGTGAAGCGCATAAGGATATCTCTCGTGGATATCTGTACATGGTGAAACTGAGTTTAAGGGATGAAGATGTGAAGTTTCGGAAGTTTTTGAAACTTCTGAGTGACTGGAAAGCGGCCCAAATCACCATTATAGAAGTCGTCGTAGAGGTTAAATCTATGTTCAAAGATCATCCACAAATTCTCAACGGGTTCCGAGAATTCCTTCCGCTGGAGTTTGCAAATCTCATTCCCAAGGTGGAATATTATGCAGACCAGTGAATGACGTTATTTCCGGTGAGTAGGTCCTGGTATTAAGTTCCAAATAAACCTCGAGCATCTTGGAAGTGCTCCTAGCCAGGAACGATTTCGTTGTAGTCCACGAGCCCGAGTAATGCGGATTTCATGCGTCTATTGGAAAACTTCTCATCATGCTTTTTCAAGGACTGATTAGACAGATGATCGTCTTACATACTCCAAGAAAGAAATAATAGTGTAGATACTATCTATCTTGTACTGAGTGAGAGCTCCTCGCTGCTTTGAAAGCCTTGTAAGCAAACTATGAATATATACGATGTAAGAATAAAATGACATCTGAAACCTCGGAAAATTATTATTGTTCGTTGACCTCGGACATTGTTTGTATTCCAACCTGTGCCTTGTACTTTAGCTTGTCTAATATGGGCAGATGAATGTGGTTTAAGTTCTACTTTCTAGGTACGAGCTCTTGTCCAACTTGAGCTAAAGTTAATTCATGTTTAAGAATGAATGTCTTTCTTCTCATTAGTATGGATAGAATTCTAAAGATTCTTTATGGCTCACTTGAAAGTAATATAGAGATTGGTGGGACCCTGCAGCCAACTCAAGATTTAGCTTGGGTTTCAAACGTACTTGCTTTTAATGTAGTGGACGCTATGTTTGATATTCCTGTTGATTTTAGTAAAAATTGGATGGATGGGCTTGTTTCGTCACTAGAGCTAGCTGGGCAGCACATCAGGAAAGTCAGCTGCACATTTGGCCTTCAAAATTCGAGGAACAGCAAATAGTTAGCAATGCAACATGCGATGGGTTGACCTTCTTGTCTGATACGAATAATGTTCATGACTCTTTCGCGAAATTACATCAAGCCCGGACCTTGTCTCCACCATTGCGTTGTCTCAACGAAAGGTTTGCGGTGTATATGGCTAGCGAGAAAGATAAGACTGTCGTCATGATGATACATTGTGCTGCAGTTTGGAAGTGCTTGCCAGCTGGTGGGCAGTTGTATATGTTTTACCATGAGATTCTCGAATGGCAACACAAGTGCTTCTGGGAGACTTTACACTGTGAAGTAGCACATTCTTTTACGAGAATATAGATCCTTCTACTGACAGAATAGACAGATAGAATCTACAACCAGCTGGGTTTCGTCTTCCAGAACAGGACTTGCGAAACAAAAACACACAAAATTCCCTCACGAATGACTTCCCTGTTAGAGATACTTATGTCAACCTGTCACAAATTTTCCAAGTGAATTTAAGCAACTATTACTCACTATAATGTTTAAATATATATATATATATATAATATATATATATAAAGAGAGAAGAGTGTACATATTTCACATCACTATCAAGCTGCGTCTCAGACTATGGTTCACGTAAAAAGTATCCCGTTGCATCCCATCTTAGACTAGGCACGGGTTCGAAGCAAGCACATAAGCAAATGAACGCATCGCCTGAGCCTCTTTCTCATTCCTTGCCATGTACGGGACGCCTGCTCTGTCGTCATCTATTCAGAGGGACATCTTTGGGCTTCCAAATTCGTGAACAAACGAGAAGGAAAAACAGGGGCCCCGCCCAACTTTGCTCGAGATAATTATCCAGGAAGACATGACATGCAGTGAACCTGACCGCTGTCGATCAGCACTGGCACCACATGTCGATGCCTTAGACGATTGACGCGAGTCACCTGCCTTTAAGCGTTTGGCATCTTTGCTGACAAGTTACGCACAGATTATATGTGAAAGGTACGCTGAAAATCATGACTGCATATGTAGTGAGATTGACAGATTACGCGGATAGGCATTTACAATCGAATTACCAATTTGCACTCTCCATACTTTTCTTAACCTCACATGCTTTTGTGATAAATAAACACCCACAAGCATGGTCATATATTTGAATTAAGATCGACATTGTTCAAAAAGTTATAATGCTTCGAGGATTTCTAAATTGAATATTAGAAAAACAGTTGAGGAGCACCATTGTTTCTAAATGATGGCTTTCATAGTTCTTTAGGATAGGCATTGCTTGTAATCTCGCAATGGTAATGATAATAATCTCGTACTCCACTTTAGAAACCTCACATAGGAGAGCCTCCTATCTCTATCATATATGGATGTGTGAACTGGGAAGGGAAGATAAATTAACATAATCTCATTGGTAACTTGAACTCTAATTCTTGCTGGGATAATCATAAGCATTTAAAGGTCCCCGGGTTGAGTTTACTTCAGAGCAGCATGGAGACTTAAGACGTAGACGTTCATCGCTCATGAGGAACTATAAAGATCCAAAAGAAGCTGTAGTTTATTTGTTCATTATGTTTACACAAACTTCACACAATACAAAAGGATTTTGACTTCCAACCATGACATGGTGGGTAATGGAGAGCTTCATGAGGTTAAAACATCTTTGTATTTATAACTATTAGAGATTTATTTTAATCTATATAACAATTGAGCACAAACCTTGGGCTTGGTTTCTTCTGCTTTTCTGCCAGTCACCATTTCTTTCATAGCTCCCTCCGTGGCTCTTGCTATTGCTCTTATGCTAAGCAGGCCTATAAAATCTGGAAAATGCTAGGTTTGCAATAATTAAGGTAAATCTGGCAAATTTTCTCCTTGATTCTGGCATTTTTAGCATTAACACTATAATTTCACTATTTTCGTTTCGTTACTATAATTTTTTTCAATTAATCTAGTACTTTCTGGTGAAACCCACAAGTGACGCCGTAGTACGCCCTCTGAGTGCACTGCTGTGGAACAAGGAAAGTACGTTAACATTGATTTGCACTGCCACAGCTTCCAAGTTATTGAGGCAAGTCATGACCGCGATGAGTGGGAATTTCTCATGTGAGCTATCTGTCCTTACCTTTCTTGAAGAGAAGTATTGATTACTATCACAAATCTAAGTCAAACGGCAACGGACGGTTCGAAGTTACATTTGCAGTGTGCTCTAAATTTTGAACATTGCATTGCAGTATGAAAGACGGTACCTACTGGATAACTTACACGCTGAGTTTAAGCAGTCACTCAGATTTCAGACTTTTTTAGTTCACTTGAAAGATACCCTCTATTCCTGTGAATAAATTCTCCATGAAGTCCTACGCTTTGGGTTTGTCACAGGATGAGCGACCGATGTTACGAGAATGTAATGTCTGATTCCTTTCGGCCTCTATGTTCTTATAAGATCTATCGCTTCATATGATAGTGGATAGACGGTCTGTCATGATTGACAAGCATAGGTTTTCTGACCCTCTTCCACTGCCTAATGAGACCCTGGATTCACAGGAGTATCGATACGAAACGAATTCAAATTTTCGTTTGAAGATCGAAAACGAAAATTCCATCATGGCACGCAAGAAGCAAAGACCAAGGTGGTCAACAAATAGTGGCCAGGGCAAATGGAAAGACAGAGAGAATTTGCTCACAGATATCATCATGCACATTGACTTCAATTGTAGATATAATAACAGTAGCAGACGTTTCAAAATCCAATAACAGTAAAATCATAATAAAGTTTCAAATTGATAGTATAATATGTTAAAAATTTGTCATGAACTGACCACTCATCAAAAATTTGTTTTAAAATTATATACAAATTAATTATGATTATGACCATTCAAAACTCAATTATCGACAAATTTACTCAATTAGAAAATACATATATATGAAAAATGATTTAACTCGATAATCTATTGCATATAATGACATTTGAAAAAAAAATATTATGTTCAATCCTAATGATAAAAACTGGATTCAATCCAAACTTGAATACAGATACTTACTTTGTTAAAAAGAAATTATGATTGCACCTAAAATTTCCATTTCTCTTGATGAAACTTATTGCATTCAATATATTTATCTTGAATGCTCATATGTACATTAATTTGATTGCAAAAAAGTCTTGAATCCTGCTAAAATATAAGATAGATAGGCAATTTTTGTGTTTGTTACATGAAAAGATGGCATGAATCATCTTCTTCATTGCAATCAATTTGGGTTTGAACAACCCTATATGACTATGATGTACTGTAAGGTAGACGAGATGTTTTATTGAATCTCATGAGACATAAATCACGGTAGCATGCAAAGCCGTCGAAAGGACGGCAAACACGGCTTGTGGGTGCAGAATTTTTAAATTTTATCAACTACTTTAAGGTTTCCAGGACGTTTGATGTCTGGTCTTTTTGCAGCTACTTTACAGTTAAAGGTCAAAATCTAGATTAAATTATATTAAGCTAAAAATTTGAAGCAAACATTTAAATGCGTGCAAATGACTTGCTGTACATTTGAAAAAATTAGTACATTGTCAAGTATGTCGAAAAGGATGACGTATCTGTTATGGCTTGTGATTAGGATATATTTAATCTGGTTAAAGGAGATTGTATTTTTGTTGCAGAACTAATGATTTTGTATTTTGCGTGTAATCTAGTTTTAGAACGGTGCACTTCTCTTGGATGGGAGGTTACATGTAGCAGAAACTACCAAAACCTTCAAGTAAAGAGTTATGTAAAGAGATCAATTGTTTTGATGTGTAGATTTGGAATTTGGACATATGTTGAATTGATTTGTAACGTAGAGAGTATTTCAGGGACCACTATATTAATTGTAGAGATTGTCACTAATATATTTCTTAGCCCAAATGTAGAGAGAACTTCTGTAAACTCTTCAATAAAACTCAAGTTAGTTGATATTTTAACTCATGTTAAAATATCTCGTTGACCTACCCAACGAGATATTTTATCCTACACAATGCAGCACAAATGCCCCTGGTGATGCTATTATAACTAGTCCATATTATACCTTTGGTATATCTATATAACGCGTGATCTACCCATCCTTTAAGTTATATTAATTTCTTCGTCCCTTTCCTTTTCAGCGTAGAGATATGTGCTCGTAATAAGCAATCTCGAAGGAATATCGAGGGTATCGGCTGAAGATTCCCTAGCGCCAGTTGGCCAATTCGTCAATTCGGACGACGCACACAATGGTGCGACATTTGAGGCTTGCGTCGGAGATGGCCTCATGTCACTTCGATCGGAGGAGGAGGTAGGTTACGATGGCAGTCAGTTGTATGGAGGTCATGGGGTCGCACAATTCCTCCGACAATCCCTGATTAAACTTCCGCTCAAATGTTGCCGACGTGCATCAGACAATTGAATGGGTCACATTCGAAGGCGAGAGAAATCCCACAATGTTGGCTATCGGGGGATGCGTATGCTCTTGGCTTGCGCGCGTTAGAGCTCAATGGGCTCAGTGAGGCCGCGATCAGAGCCCACACGGGGCAAGGCGAGTCTTGCCTTGGATCTAGTGACGAGGGGAAATGAATGCGACTGGAATTTGTTTAATCGATTTTACCTTGATTTCCTGTTGTAGACAAGAATCAAGGCGAAATCGATGTGACAGATGGTAAAGCGATCGTAAGCTTCATTCTGTGTTTTTTCATGTGGTATTTTGGCTTGAGGCGGTTGTTCGTGAAGTTTGTGGACGAGATGAGCGAGTGGTGCACCTGTTTGGGCTGCTCACCTTGATTGACATTTGCATTGAAGAGCACGAAAATTCATGGATATGCAAAGAAACCAAAGGTTGTCGTTTTACTTTGAAGAAAATCGGTAATTATGTCAGAGTCAGGTAACTTATCAATGGAAGAGTCGGCACCGCCCGAGGAGATTGCCTTGAGCGGTGAAGCACTCGTGGATGGACTTGGGAATCAAACATCGGACGCTGTCGATAGCATAACAAAAGGAATATCTGCGATGGATATCCCCGAGCTTGAGACTGCAGCTAAACCTAGTGTAATTCTCACACCTGGAGATGAGACTGAGAGTAGCAGCGGAGTGAAGGACGAAAGTTGTCCAGTTGATTTGAATGTTGGACACAGAGCCCAGCCTGCTTCAGGAGAAGAAAGTGAAATAACCAGTGAATTCGGAGCTGGAGAAAGCGGTGGAACTGTGGGCGCGGGAAGATCTGGATATGATGCTGGTGATCATGGAACACTTCAGATTGTCTCGGCCTCGTCACCACTTGGGAAAGGTGGCGAAGTGCCTGTGCTCGAAGAAATCTCGTCGAACGAGCTAAAGTCTACGAGTACCTTAACTTTTAGTGCCTCAAGTTCTTCCGATCCAGGCAGGTGCGGGCCTGTGATGAGATGTGTCATACAGTCCACGAAAATCGTTTTCGTAAAGTAGAGTCTTCTCCTAATAGTTCTGTACCGAATGGCATTTTTCAGGCAGCCTTCCAAGTCAATTGTTCTGACTTTCCCTTTTATCGTTTGAATTGCCTTCCCATCCTTTTTGATATTGCAAGTGTTTGTTTTCGTTCGTTTTTCTGAGACGACGGTATTGACCTCTGAAGGGAAGCCGTGTGTAGATGTTTCAACATTGTAGCCGGAGTATGCTGTAGTCTCTCTCGTCTTGCTGCTTTCCGAATACCTCAAATGCACACACCTCTATGCATTTGTGAACCCTATGGGCGAATACAGTCTCCTAGAAACATTATTCTCTTTATGAAAATTTCATAGCTTGAGACGCAGGAAGTTCGTTAGGATACAAATCCTTAGGGTTTCCGAAAACTTTATCGCTAGATGTCTCGGGACTTCGTAGTTTGAACGCGCAGGGACTTTTCCTTGGAGAAACGACGCTCACCTATCTCCCAGCCACAGCACCAAGCCACTGGCATAGGATTCATGTTTCCCGAAAGAATGTCCTGTTACCCACCTTTGAATTCCAAAATGTCTGGAGAGAACGCATTGCCCAATCTTGTACGCAAGGGGCTGTTCGCAGAAGGATAGACATCAACCCTCGGAGATCCACGCCAGGGGATGTCCCCTATCCACAAGTGTATTGTCGAAAAGCTTAGATCCACATGTGTTCGAAAGGTTCCATTTTGTTCATGAGCTGGGTACAGTAGTGCAGAATCTTTGATATAACTTTATTCCGGTGCCAGTTCCAAAGCTCTATTACCTAACCGATAACGAATTCGAACCCCAGGATGCAAATGCCTTGCAAAGAGGACAACCCTGGGGATGTGAAGCAGAGGGAAGATTCGCCCTCAGGTCCCTCCGCTGGACAGAAGAAAGCATCGGAAACTTCGGCACTCCGTAGGTGGAAGACAGCTTATGCCTATGCCAAGAACTCAAAAGTACATTTTCTCTCTCTGCTGTCAGCTCTTGACATTTGAGAACGTCCACTTGTACACGTTGTGTATTCCCGGAACTGTCAATTTCAGGAGATTCAGGGCAGGTGTATTACATGCTTGTCAACCTTGAATTCATTTCTCTATCTTGTTGTGTTTAACGCAGGTCATAAAACAGAAGGCCTCGACCTCCCTCATAGGTACTGGGGCGACATTGGAAGGCTATGCCTTGGGCTTTATGAGTATAGAGAGTGCAACTCGCAAGATGCTGTTTACTTCTCTATATAATCAGTATCCTCCACATTTGTAAGGTGATTAGCTGTTCATCACAGTTCTTCATTTTACCTTCGTTTTCGACAATTACAGTGCCGCGCAATATCGAAGCCGTGACAAACTCTGTCACTGGGATGCTGGAACGAAAAGTCGTATCGTTATTTGATATTAGTAATCCAGCATGTTCCCTTGATTGTTGTGAAGAAAAACGGAGTACATCCTTCTTGGTGTCATTCTGGGTCATTTCTTTGTGCTGATATTGAAAGCTGAGCACAAATGGGTGACCCCCTTTCACCCCAGCATGGACGCCGTCATGGTGGCAGACGTCATTCTTACGTCAGTTTATACGTAAGGGAAACTACTGTACTTTACAGCCCCCTTCATTGGAAGCCTCGTCTATGACCCGGAGCACATTAAATGGATTGTCTGTTGTTTTTCATTGTACGAGCTTCTTTAAGTCGAGGTTCTTGATGTAGACGAACAATTTCCATTGGGAAGTACATGCATAGACAGTCGAGATGCGCTCTTAGTTTGAAAGAGCATCGACTTTGGCAATTCATAGGTGGAAGATAGCGTATGCTTTTGCCAAGAATTCAATTGCATATTTCTACATTGAATAAGAGAGTGAAGATTTTGCAGCATGAGTCACTAGTACTGGATGTGTAGTGATGTCAATACCAGTTCCAGACTTGATTTGGATCATACGCTGGTTGCTAAGTTTCCTTCATTTCGTTCCAAAGAACGCCGAACTTCTGACTTACTTTGCTTTTGTCGAACGTACCACAGAGCCGAATGTGTTGGGCGGATCTTAACGTTAGGTTTATACCAAGGTCCGCATGCATATCTTCGAAATGGCTTCAACAAACTAGACCTTATCATTGTTTTGGATTCCTGGTAATTTTTGTGCTCCACTTTATTTCTCATGGTGCCAGCCATATGTCTTAGCTCCCATGATCAGTTTGTGAAACTAAGATTCATCAATTGATTAGGTTTATGGATTTGAAAGTTCGAATTGCCTTTTGGAAGTGAATGTCTACCATTGTTGATTTGAGTTCTGCTTAAGTACAATCAGGGTCCACATTGTGAGGACATACATTATGAATGGAGACAAGTGGCTTCGCATTGCAGTACTCCGCATTTTTCGAGGATTACTGGTTCTTCGTCACTTTTCTTTCGTTGGAGATATATTTGTAAGCCTGTTGCTACTTTTCTTTTTTCCTGGTACTTTGACCATAATCTCAATGCATGATCGACCTAAACATCAGGTTTTGAAGGCCTGTTTTGAGTATTCATTAGTTATCAATCGAGAAGGCTAGCTTCTGGGAAGTAACTGAAATTTATCCTTTGTTAGCACCCGCCAATCAGGGATCTATGGTCTTTATGCTACAGCCGTTAAATTCCAGTTAAATAACGTGCGGGTGGGCTCTAATCCTCAGTTAAGATCTAGACAAATAATCTGTATCTTTTTGTAGACTTGTCCTTGAAATGATGCATAAGAGAAGCTCTGTTTTTTAAACCCCTATTCCACCTTCGTGTAAAGTCGTGCTTGTCCGTGAGTTCATCATGGTATGTAGGGACGTTTGTTTGCAGGCATATATTCGTTGTTTAAGTGAGTGGTTTATTTTCGAATCTAGAAGCTGAAGCTCCTGTCGGCCCGGTTGCAAGGACCAAATAGTTGTACTTATACTGGCGACATTCATATTGGCCACTGGGGTTTCTTTTCTTAAGTACATTCCCTGTTTTCTGCAACTTGCTTGACAGGCGATCTTAGATGCAATTCGCCGGAGTGTCCGTGCATTGGAAACGGTGATCATGTTTACACTCATGTTCCTATCCTTCTATGCACTACTTGGATCACAACTTTTTGGTGGGAGTTTTCACTTCAGGTGAAGCTTCATACAAACATTTTCATATACCTTGGTTGTACAGAAACATTTATAAGTTCCTCTACCAAATTGATGGAATCTGTTCGGAATCTGGTCTCGGGCAGGCTTTGAACATGTCCCTCTAAATGGATTACAAGGGTTCACTAAAGGGCTTGCTCTCGAAATCTGAATACAGTCTTGTGTGCACCAGCGCTTCCAGTTCTTTATACATTTCTGGGCATCTCTTCTCTGAAATTGGATCATGATCCTGGTAGGTGCGTGAGGAAGAGTGATAATGAAGTAAGTATTCCAGAAAGGGCTTGCATTAATTATTATGAAGGCATATCTGACTCGCAAGGGGAGTATATAGGCTGGGCAGATACGTGTGATAAACTCCCAGACGCGGCTATGGTCTGCAAGGTCAGTACATCAATCCTTACACGTCATCCGATTATGACTCGCGTGTAGCTCTATAGTTTTTATTCGCACAAGCCGTTTGGATTGACGCAAACCAGCGGAATTTCTCATGTAACGGAGTGTATGCTTGTGCTCTTCTTAAAGCCTACTCCATAATCCTGCCTTTGATCACGCCCCCTGCAATCTTCACATTTTACTCCCCCCAGACTCTCTTCATCAATTAAGATCTACAACAGCTATCCAGTTCATCAGCTTTTGTGAAGCACTAGTGTTTACTTCCTATCACCCAAGCCTGCAAATTTGATATACCGCTCATGTTTGAAGTGTTGTCTTTCAGGATCGCTCTAATCCAAATTGGGGAGCTACCAACTTTGACAATTTTTCTGCATCCATCCTTATCGTTTTCCAGGTTGGAATAGGTCGGTCGATTATGTATGAAAGCACTCTGATTAGTACTCAACATTTGATCAACAGAGTTTCATCTATTGTTGACAGGCACAATCTGTTTGTCACATAAACGGAAGAATGTGAACGTAGTCAAGCACTCGAAGTTATTCCCTTCCTAAGTACAGTCTAGACCTAGCTACTTCACAACTCAACTGTCTCCTACTACTCCACCTTTTAATTCTTAGATTTGGTAATGGTTCATCGAGAGTTCCTGTTACTGGTTGAGTTAAAATCAGCAAAACTCAGTTACGTGAAGATTTATTCCTCTTCTTGATGTTCAACAAAAGTGGAATACATAATTGAAAGATTGTATATTGTTTCGCCTGAAAGGTGAAAGAAATGGCCGATGACACTACTGGGTTTTAACTCAAATCCAGCGGTTGGAGTTCTTTGCCAGTTATAGTGTGGACGTATTATTGTTCAACTAGATATCTGTATCGCTTCGTTGATCTTTTATGTTCAGTTCCTTAAACTCGGTCGTACGGTACCCAAAAATAGAGGCTGTATTGCTGTTATGACGATTTGTAGAAGGACTAAGCCGATCATTATCAGCTAATAATTTTTCCTAGTCACGTTTTTTCCAATAGAGGTCAACAATTCATTAACAGGCATCATTGAGTATCACACAAAAATCCATGGTGAACGTAAAAATTTCCTTCTCTACGCCTCCGTTGAATGGAAGACATTTATGAAGTCCTGTAGTGTGAACTAATTGCCCAACCAAGATATAATTCCATATGGCTATTCAGAAACTTGGAAGTCATGTATCGAACCTATTTTACCGGATGGTTCCACAGGTTCTTACATTTGAAGGGTGGTCTCTTATTATGAGGTGGGCGAACGACAGCTCAGCATTAAAAAGTAAGTTCGCACTTTCTGTTGTATATATATTCCACGTCCCTTTGAGGCAGCGCTGTGTATATCTACTCAGTCATCATAAAGTCTCTGAGACGTTTATGTAGATAGGAATGAATGCAATACTCAATTATCAATCGAGCATTCATCCGCTGCTGGGGCAAGAGACAACGGGAATAGGTTCTCAGATTAACTCAGCAGTTGGCGCCGAGTCCGCCCTGGTTGCTCTTGGGTAATACAAAACTTGTAGCGGGGGTTACTGGTTCTTGCCCAGTTGCTTGGACACCAGGATGGGCACCTTGAGCGATGTCTTGTTGTGTCCCCTTAGAATCCCTGCAATGATCGAAGTGTACAGGAACTGTTCCTGGACAGGGTCATGGCGATTCGTGCTTTAACGATACACACTAGATGTGTCCTTACATGCTCTTCACCGGCTACCAATATGTTAGTTTACTATATGGTTCGAGTTTTAACTGCATATCTTGGTATCGTCATCCGCTATTTTTCGTTCGTCGAGCTCAGTTGTACAAATTCCTTGGATGTAGTAGACAATCTATAAGTCTAGATGGAGTATCAGAGCTTACTGCACTGTCTGTCTTCTTACTAGCTCTGGGTCTGAGAGTGTGAGAGCAATCTTTTGCGCTTACGCCTAACAAAAGCATAGAAGAAAGATAAAAGCTTCAACAATCGATGACTTGTCATGCATAAAGCTGCTGTAGTTGTTTTTATTAATATAATACTGTTCCAACAGTTCGGCCGAACAGTGCTGGGAGGTTACAGTTTCTGCCACCATTTTTAATGTCCGATAAGGACGTAGATCTCATTATGAATTCCAATCATGAACTCTAACTTGGAGATCTTCACCTCGGTCTTGATCAAAACTGTGACAGGCACGCAGACATATTTTGTTATCTTAGTCATCTTTGGGAGCTATTTCATGGTCAACGTTTTTGTGGCAACCATTAGTGGTGTCTTCTTACGAGTGAGAAAGGAACACCAGGTGCGTTGTGCTTGAAAGGTTTTATCGCATGCTCTTCTCGCCAGCCAAAAAATAGTGGACAATATTTCTCATGAAAGAGATAAGAAATCAACTAACTTCGACTACTAATGAACTTGCTTCACTGGTTAACGACATTGGCTCGATACAATGTTTGCTTTGCTCACACCATATCTGGGCACTGATGAGATCATGTGTGATGCCAATGTAACGGTTTCGGATCGATGTGTCATAGGCACTTTGATCAGTACTGTGCGGATTTATACTGTTCCTTCGTTGACGTTGTTTACTTCTTGGCTGTTTTTTAATTGTTTTTTTCCGGCAGCATACTTTCATCACCCATACGTGTCCTCCCGATCGCATTGCGTCTCCTCTCTCTTTGAACTTAGCTACTCTTATCTTGTGCATTTCATCATCGCCTCTAGTCCTTAACTATTGCTGCTTTCTAAACATTACTAGATTAAATCTGTCGTCAGGATCTAGAGATACATACATGGATTGTTTGTTTCTCTCATTACTAGATCCTGTGGCCGACCAGACTGAATGTATCCTTCCTGTCTGAAACCTTTCCATTGATATTGTTCTCCCTGTCCCAGAGTGAAGAAATTATTTTCTGCTGGTATCCACAGGCATCAGGATGTCTATCAAACGTTTCTGTGTGTCTGAAAGGATGTAAAACCTGATTCGTGATTTTTTTCCATCCTCAAAAGGAAAGATCAGATTATCGTGATAACATGCTGGTCCAATACTTGACTCGATTTTACTAAAGCTTGCTAGGGAATGCCATGCTTGTAGGCTTTGATGAGAAGGTATCGACGAGACAAAGCATTCTCATTCGCCAATGCACTTCAAATGGCTAGTTTGATGAAGGAGGTTATCTTGAGCAATGATGCAAGGCTAACCTGGAGGCACCGACTTAGGCGAAAGACTGCCGGACTGAGCACCAACTTTTCTTATGCTTTGAGTCGCCAAAGCACCAGGGTGAAGAGAACCATGTCAAAAGCTTTCGACTGGAAGGAGTCCAGTTCCTACTTGAAACACATCAGCAGCTTTGCTGTTTTAGGAACTGAAGACTCCTCCGATAAACTTCCCGATGACCCAACCCTTTCGCGATCCTTGTCTCGCAGCCTGTCCCGCAACGTCTCCCGCGCCTCTCGCCTAGGTCGTACCGCTGCAAAAAGTGTGTCTATGACAACTCACCATTATGTGCAGAGATTTTCTGCTAAATGCTGGGCGATAGTGCAAAGCAAGGCGTTCAAGTATGCTGTTCTACTTCTTGTGTCCTTCAACATGATAGTTCTGTGTTCCTTGAAAGCGAATATGACCTCTCGGCACGCGGACGCCGTTCGTATCCTGATGACCACAACTAATTATAGCGTTTAACAAACTATTTACAGATTAGTGGAGTCAGCTGACATTATTGAATATGTGACTTTACTCTACGAACTCACGAAGAGCATATTTCTCCAATTTAGCACTGTTGGAGTCCATGGACAAATTACATGAACCAATTTGGTACCAACTGACGGGCTTTCAAACAGGGTGTCTGAATAGGACCATTGTTTGATAGCATTCTTTGGTTTCAGTCTGGACAGAATTTCAAGTTCAGTTCGATTTCGATATCATGAACATAGTAATACGTCGATCTAATTGGAAAGCACGTTTTGACGATTGGAATGGTCTCTGTTCTCAAGTAGAAGTTAAAATGTACTGGAGGAATCATTGATAGCTGAATTCAGCTGTGCATCATGTCCGAAAGTTATCTGATGATAATGGAGAAGGGTCAGGAGCAAAGTTAACACGTGAGCCAGGATTTACTAGATTGGATATGAATACGTTTACACTTAGTGTAAGAGTAGCGTAGACTACATACATAGACTTGGAATTTCAGCCTTTCTGCTTTGTGCGAAAATGATGTTTCTAGTCTTCGGAATTATTGACCTTGACAGAGATCAGATAAGCTGGAGATTGCTCTCATTGCAGTCTTTGCTGCTGAGCTGATCTTGCGCTTTCTAGCAGCGGGCCTTCCTGGGTTTGTAGATGAAAGTATGAGTAAACTTTATTCTAAACTTTGAATGTTCGACTCTTTCTTGCAGCAGCGTAAATTAATTTGCATATACATTCATGGGGAAAGATTCCGTAATGAGAAAGTTTACGAGAACTTCTCTTTAGGAGGGATTTGATAAGAGGGATACACACATTTATTCCAGTCTGAGTTCTTGTGCTTTTTGCAAACCTTAACCGATGTTCCTTAGTCTGTCTTTCCTATATTTTTCTACTGCGAATGCGCTGCAGATACTTGACATGGACGACCATGAGCCTCTGCTAACGTGTTTGATGGCGCTGTCATCTATCCTTGTGCGAAAGGCTGCTATCATCTAATTTGGTGTTGTTGCCTAGTAAGGGATCTGGATTGACTGTCAGCCCTGTAACACCCTTTTCAAGATGTTCTGTGCCCTCTCGGAATAAAGTTCAGTAATTGTATGTTTCTGTCGTCTTTCTTCTTTTCAAGACCTTCTGTTACATCTTCACATCATTCACTCGCTTCAGTACCTATTATGAGTTGTCTAGCGACATTCTTTTTGTTAATTCTGGAACTTCTGATAATAATTCGGCCCTGCATAATCTATTGTTCGTTGTTTGTTTGTTCCACTTGATGTGGATGTTTGGGACCATCTTTAACCTTGTCAAGATAGGGGAGCGGGGGAGTCCTGAGGCTGTGTTGATCATAGTTTCTCTCTCAGCCAGATAATTCATTAGGAGCATGGAAGGCCGCCCTTAGTAGGAACATGTAGATTTTTATACAGCAGTTACGGCACAACACCAAGAGCACAGTTTGGGTGGAACTTCATTCAGTATCTTCAGGAATTTGTTGACTGAATACAGTGCTTATGTTTAACTTCCACAATGTATCTTTCTCAACTACCAAGAGAGGAGCAAGATGGTGGACTACCTTGCATCATGCAACCCTTGTTGACGTAGACGATTGATTCGTTGCTTATAGTTGTCTGTACTATCTTTGTCACAATGAAGGCCACAATATTCCGAAACTTTGCTCAGATGTTTGAGCCGGATGTGCACTTAGAAGACCACTGGCAGCTTTCGGTTTCCCCACATCCAGAACCCAGAACTGCCGTTGTCTTGAGCGGCAGTTTCGTGGGGCCCCAGAACCAAATAGGTCACTGCTTTTGGTCAAAGTTCCCTGGCTGTGACCTAGAAACTTCGAACTATGGTGATAAATACATCTATAAGAGAGACTGTCCTCACTCTCAAGGACCCGTATTCTTTTTCATCCTCCCTCAACAATTCTTCCTTTCATTTGTAACATGAAAGGAACGCTATAACCAAGGGGCAGAATTTGTGGTCTTCAGGCCACTATAGGGAATTGTGCACGCGTGTATTGCTAAAGTTTATCGTTGGTTCATGAGAAGGAGCTTATGATGTTCATTTCATTAATTCTACAAGACATGACTTCAGACTCCAGTTAATGGAAACTTTCCTTCCAAATCTGAACAACACCAAAACCATACTACCGGTTCGTGCACGCGTTGCACCCGCCGCAAAGTAATGCGCTTCCTCTTTAACTCTTAAATCTACTCAAGAGTCCTGTTTTTAGACTTTCCATCAACATTTTAGCTGTGTATACGCATTTGTATTTGCACGTAGTCCTTCTCCCAACCGAGAAGTTCCAGTCGCTCTGTTGTTGCCATCTTGGTTTCCTTTCACATCCCATTTCAACGAAGGTACGATTTACGATGATGCATCAACTAGCCGGCTTGTATTTTTGGACTGTTATTTATCGGCTCCATACCTTGAGAGGTTTCAAGAGTGTATTAACCTCGATATTAAGCTCCTTGTGGTTTTCATATTTTGTCCTCCTTAAGACCGCAGACTAAGAGACAAACAATGAATTACAAAGCATATATTGATACGTGTATTGATGTAAGACTAATTGAATGTACAGAAATGAATGTGATCGATCTTCTGGTGGTCATTATCTCTTGCTGGAATACTGGAACACATCGGAAGTTCGTCAACGTCACCCCGATCCGAATGCTGCGCTGGTTTTACGTCAAAAGGAGCAAACGGATGGCTAAAGGCGGTGACAATCAGACAATAATGGCGAGTTGATATAATTATGCCACGTTCTCATCTTTCATTCTTTTGATGAGAATTTAAAAAAAAAATCAACATTACAAGTGAATGTGCTCTGATCATCATGATAGTTTCAAATCTACCGTGGGATGTTGCTCAGATATCGCATAGAAGCCTACAGAAGATAATAACGCTGTTCCGTTGAACCTCATAGTCTCATAGTTGTGACTTTGTGTAACACAGCATATTCATGCCCGCAACAGGTGTCTATCCTCAGGAGCTTGGGAGCTTTGGCGAGTGTATACTTTTTTCTATTTATTGTCATAATTATGTTCTCCATCTTCAGTATGGAGCTATGGGGTGGTCAAATGGATGAGTTTGACGATGGTTATCCTCGTGCTAATCACGACAGTTTCCTGCAAGCAATGCTTTTGTGGTTCATTGTTACTACGGGCGAAAGTTGGGTGGATTACATGTGGTCCGCAATGCGGCCCGGAGTTAAAAACAGGTAATTGGTGTCAATCTTTTGTCTAACTACCTAGTCCCCTCTTCCTTCATCTTTCCCCACTTTAGAAACTTAGTTGCTATATTATCCGTGCCTGAAGTTCCCGAATTTGCATCCCTGATGTATCTAGCTCCTATCGGGATATGTACTCGAGATGCCTGTTGGCCTAGATGTACGTATTAGATCAAAACTTGTAACCTTCGGGATCTTAATATCTGTCAAAACCGATCTTCAAGCTGAAGCTCTCCATGGATACACTGCACAGAGCAGCAGTTTTTGTTGCTTATGTTACTTCGCCACTCGTCGACTCTGATATATTCAGGAGAGCGACGTTTGGGTATAAAAATGCCCAGGTCGTAGCTTCCGCAAAATTCTGCCCTTAACGTTATTGATTTAGTTCAACTACAGAGATTAAATTCTGAGGATGTAGTAAAAATCGTGATCTCTCTTTACAGTCACTAGGCAAGTCTCACAATCCTAGCATAATTCAATAGTAATAAAAAGTCAATTAGATTATCATTGACTTAAAGTTATTGATTATACAACTTAGAAAAGGCCTACAAGCCTTCAATGGCCACTCCTTTAATCTGCACATAGACTCTGGTTTGATCAAAGGAAAGTACTAATCGTATCATCGACAATCCCAAGCATTCGCCGAAAGTGATGGTATTCTGAATAGAACAAAGAAAAGTCTGTAAGTCATCGTCAATCTCGTGTAAAGAGCGTGTTTAGCAAATACTCTATAACTAGGATTGTCCTACCTTTTATTAACTCTTGATTGGTCGTAGAGAGCTCTTGAGTTGCAGCTTCATCGGAATTTCCATATAAAATTTGCGACCTGTTCTCCATCATTATATGACTATATTTCATTTCTCAGGTGGGTTTCCCCATTCATATTCATCTTTTACTACATGATAACTGCTTATGTGATCCTCAATCTAATCATTGCGACTATCTTGGAAGAAATGGAGCTGACAGACAATCAGAAAAAGCACCTACAAAAGGTAAGGGGATCGTACACAGCGTCAACCTTCAATATTAATAGCTTCTATAGAGATGCTTCAAACAAACTAGAGTTCAGTCGCTGTATTTAGAAGTACGATGTGAAGTTGACTTAGCCAGCACCTTAAGTTCGTCATGTTTTAGCTCTTGTGGTGTGTGATGTTACTAGCCTTAATTTTCGTGTGACAAGAACACCGGAAAATTGTACTACGTATCAAGAATGTCCGTGTGCTGCGTATTAGATTAAGCTCCAGCGGGCAGTACAGGGCTCCTCAAGTAAGAAATCTCGGGAGAGTTTGCAGACATCGAAATACAAGAGCTCACCGATATCACAACGGGAAACAGCCTTACTTTGTGCTGAAAAGAACAAGAAATATCTCCTTTCTCATGACATCTCTAACGTATTGTCTATTTTGATCACTTAACTGAACAGCGAGAACACCTGAAGTGGTTACAAACCAAGCATTTTCATGGGGTCTCTGAGAAACGGAGTTCAGACTGGCTTGTTGGGGCTGTTCAAGGTGCCCAAAAGGGGCTCAAGGATGTGAGGCGGCGGATGAGCTCCTTGAAGATATCGCGTAAGTCAATTCTTCCTGTATCAAGTTCAAAAACGGCCGATGTACCGCAACAACAAGAAGTAGACGACAGTTTCCAGACACCCAGCAGCCCCGAAGGTGTAAGTATGTCTCAAGAGGTTTCAACGAAACGAAGTTCCTACTCAGCTCTTGACACATCAGTTTCTTCCGAAGAGGATGTTCAATCGAAAGCAAGAGTTCGCCGGCGAAGCAGCTTGAGTAGCTTGAATCCGGGTATCGACAAGCCACTTATAAGGCGGAGCCGCAGCCAAGAAATGGATAGATCGTTACTGAGGAGTGGAGATACTGCCTCAAATTTGGCTGCAACTGTTAATGGTGGAAACAGATTTGTATTGCAGTCTGCAGTGTTAGCTATCGCAGATGATCAAGCTTTGGTTGCAGCTGCTGACAAGAAGAAAGTTACAATCTCGAAGCAAGTAGAAAATGATGAACAGTCTCCCGCCACCTCAAAGAATCCTGCATATTCAAGAACGAGAAGTGTTCGTGGAGTTTCGTTTCTCCTATCCGAATTTCAAGAAGCACCGGCCGTGGTGGAAAAAGTAGTGCCGTGGTGGTTGAGCAGTCGGTCTCTTTTTCTATTTCAACGAGACAATGTCTTTAGAGTTTTTATCACGAAGTTAATTGAACACCCTGTCTACCTTGCTTGGGAGTGCTTATGGATATTTCTGGGTGTTTACGCGCTGATACGGCAATCTCCGATGGGACCATATCTCGATAATTGGATTAATTATTCAGAATATGGGCATGCTGCTGTAAGTTGTCGTTATCACTACATACCTGTACTTTGATGATCCCCTTTGGGTGTGGCAATCCCTTCTGTTGTTGGAATCTTTTGTCCTGAGGCTAAACTCAGGACCGAATGCCCCAGGTCTGCTAACACACCTTCCGCTTTCGCTCTAGCTTGCTTTATAAGGTTCATTCCCTCATTATGTCATGATCTTTACCCATTTTCTGCTCCTTCATTTCAAGGTTTGCTTTCTTGAGCATCGGTGATGTTGTCGTCTTGAATTTTAAGGTGTTCATGAATAACAAGCTAACTGATCTGGCCTTCGGAATACCCTGGATCTTAAGATGCTTTTCAGATGCTTTTCATCGGAACATATTGCAGCCCGTTAGGGCTGCAATATGTTTCGATGACAGGGTTCCTGTCTTCATTCTTTAAACACTCAGTTTCAGGGTTCAACGATGTCAGTTTGGCGCTGCTCTTGATATTCAGATCTATAAGGTCACATCTCAGACAACTGTTATCTCCTCACACAACTGCCTTTGTAATGTTCGTAATGGTAGATGTACTTACAACGACTAGGTTCGAGAAGTAGCCTTCATCCAGATGTTTTAGTTCAGTATTTCTCCTGTTTTGAATAAGGCCTCTCGTCTAAGGCTCTACTAGTTCTCAATCCTCGTACAGTTTCTAAAATATATCATTCCAATACCATGCTTGCTTACTTCCACCAGTACATTGTTTTGTAGAAACATTGACGTTCATTCCTTGCTTTGTATCAGCTTGCTCCACCCTTAAAAATGTACTAGATCATCATTTCTCTCGTTCCATCTTTCCATGATTAACATACTCTTGTATCGTTTCACTTGCCTTCTGTTGCCCACTGATAAATTTTCTTGCTCTCGCAAAGTATGCAGTTCTTCTACCTATTGCAATCTGCACTTGGCTCCTCTCGATTTGCTTCAGCAGATGACTATCGTAGAAGCACTCAACTCTTCCAACTGATTTGCATATGCACTCCGCATGCCCTCTTATTCTATCTCAATTTACTCTATCGTAAGTCTCCTTCCATGGGTCATATATGGCCTCTGACGATCCGGACCACCTACAATTGTTCCATTTCTACACCCAGGACGCCTCGTATATCACTCACAGCGTCTATTGTTATAGCAGTTATTTTAAACACTATCTCAATCGGCCAACATACCGCTTGTCATGTATAAAATTGACTGGTAGTCCATAAGAAAAAATGTATACCTCTTCTCCAACATCTTATTTAAGTGCTTAGGCATGAAAGGTCCAGTGAACGAACTTCGAATTAGTTGTTTCAGTTCTAATCCCAATGAGATCGCACGCGTAGGTACAGTAATCTTCCATTTTTCTAGCTTCTTATCTGTTGGATCTACATGGCTCCTGTATGGCTGCAGGTTTTTCTAGTTGATCTATTCTTCAAGCTGATTGCTTACGGCTTAATTTTTACACCAGAACCATATCTGGGAGATCCATTCAACTTGATCGACTTCTTGAACTTGTTGTTTTCGCTAATTAGACTACGGATGTATTGGAGTGATGGCGGATCGCGACCGACTTTTGATTTAGCGGCTCGATGTTTGATGACAGTTCGGCCTTTTCGATTGATCGCTCGATTTGCAGGCCTAAGGAATTTATGTCTTTATATTGTGAAGACTATTCCCGCCATTTCCCAGGTTTTCCTTTTCACACTTGTTGTGTATGCAATCTACGCGGTAATCGGTCTACAACTTTATGCAGATCGATTTCGTTTTTGTTCAGACCCGGATGCCGAGAGCCACTTGGATTGTGTTGGCATTTTCCGGAACGATGTTGGAATCATGGCGCCGCGCACATGGATGAATCAGGACTTTAACTTCGATAACTTTGGCAACGCCATGTTATCACTGTTCGTGGTGTCCACATTCGACAGCTGGCCTTCAAGGTTTCTATATCCCGCAATGGACTTGGGTCACAAAATCGGGCTCCAACCTCGTCGGAATCAAAGTCCCTCACATGCCATATATTTCGTCTCCTTCGTCTGCATCGGAGGTTTTTTCATCCTACGAATGTTTGTGGGTGTTTTTATTGATCAGTTTGGAATCATCTCAGGGCGCAAATTGCTGACTGAAAGGCAGAAGTTGTGGCGAGACACCAACCGCCTGATTCAAGGCTTGAGACCCAAGCGTGTACCTATAATTTTTCCTACTTACGGAGTTCGCCGCTTATGCTTCCAAGCTGTCTACAATAGGAAGTTTGAACTTCTGTTGGTCTTCGTAGTCATGGTCAATTTTCTATACCTGACAACAGTACAAGTTGGTTCGAATGAAAAAGTTCCCTTGTTATTGACTGAGAATCGTGGGGGATACCAAGTTATCGAAGTCATGTTCGTGTGTCTTTATATCGTGGAGGCTATAATGAAGCTTGTTGGCACCCAGGTGAGAACTTTCATCTCTTTCTTTGCGGTCGGTATGGAAATCGCCACTGTGGTGCTTCTCATGAAGTTTATTAGTCAGGTCCGTTTGTGTTGGATCTAAGGGCGGATTTTAAACAGCGGTGCATTTGTTGTAGTTCTGTGTGGGGAGACCAATCGGTGCGAGAGCTCCACCGTGCAACTATACCAGTTGCTCTTCTGGCTTCTATGATTTATCTAACTCCGCCTATGAGCGTTGATGGTTTATCTGTTTGTCTATTTGAACATGTTTGCAGTTCAGAGATTGGTGGGACGACAAGTGGAATGTCATGGAGTTGTGTATGGCTATCATATCCGCGAGTTGCTTATATCCCGGTACCAATAAGAAAAGGTATTTTACGGGAGCATTTTTTACGATAGTAAGGATCTTTCGTGTGATTCGTTATTTACCAACTTTGAATCACATGATGAGTACAGTTCTCATCAGTTTTCCGGCTATGGTGAACATCATGTCGTTGATGGGCATTTTTCTCTGTTTCTTCGCCTCAATGGGGAATTTCGTCTTCTGGAACATAAGAAACGGGGTGTGCATAGAGAAACATACCAGGGACTTCAGAGACTTCAGTGGTTCTTTCCTCATCTTGCTTCAGGTATGTACCATGATCGTCCTGTCAGCCTCTCTGCACACACACCCTTGGCAACAACTGACTTCAGCACTGAGTTCGTGTGATACCGTTCTCGGTGAATGTTGCTGCAAGTTACTCCGGACTGGCTTTGTGGTTTGGTGTCTGGGTGGCTCTGCGACTAGTTTGGCTGACTTCTTGTGTTCTGTCTTCGAGCAGATAACGACTCTGGACGACTGGTCTTGCTTCTTAATAGATCTGAGAGTTACTAGCCCGCAGTGCCTGCATACTGATTCAAACACTACTGACGACTGTGGATTTCCCGTTGGAGGATTGATTTACGTCCTGGTTTGTGTTATCGTAACGACCTACATATTTTCGAATATCTTCATCGCCCAGATTTTGGATACTATTACATTTGGCTTACTCAGGGATGAAGTTCTGTTGTCTCCAGATCACGTGATGGCTTTTCAAGCTCTGTGGTCGAAGAGCGATTACGACCCCAGGTAAAAAGCTGGCACTCGCATCTTCTTTCCGTTAGCCTTCAGACACATCTTTGTGATCTTCTGAACACAGATTTCATCTTCTGAAAGTCATACTGCAGAGTTATGTTTCTCTCGCCTTGCTTGTTCAAAGGACGCTATCCTGTTCATAAGCTGATACAGGAAGAAGATATACGAAGAAACTAACAAAGCCACCAATCTGATTGCCCCCAGCTTGCCCTGGCTGCTCTCTAGTAGTACAGAAACTCGTGACTTTGGTCATTGGTTCTTATCCAGAGCTCTCCATGATAGGCGCTGATGAAGCTTTGTGTTTACGTTTCGCATTCTCATTCTTGCTATGTTCAAGCTGTTCTGGTACTCGTGTGCACGGAGGGGATGTGTTATGTAGGTTCAGTAATATGAGGAAAATACAATTGGCGCATGCCTGGCTAGAACTTTAGCCTAGTATGCTGTCACTTTTTGGCACAGAATGCTATTATTGGAGCATGGTGTGCCACTTTCTTGTTTGGAGGGAAGTTTGTATGTTATATGGTATCTGGATTAAATTTGCAAGTCTCACTTGAAACAGTACAACCCTCACTTTAGTACGAGGTATGTAGAGTGGAAATGATTTCGAATTTCAAACTCAATATTTGTTTGGATCAGAATTAGAGGAGGGATTGTAGATAATTGGTGTGCATGTGTTGGAGCACAAGCAACATACCATGTTACTAGCAAAAAGTTACAACCAACATGTTGGTTTTGACGTGCATCGTAGAGAAAAAAAATATAGTACAAAGAGATAAAGAATACTAAGCTATTTTTTGACGGTAAAGTCCTGAAGGCAATGCTTAAGGTACTAAAACATGTTTAATCTAAAAAATTTCTCGAACTAGATAATTGAATTTCTATGATTCAACGATATGTGATAGAATAATCCATTTGGAAGTGACTAGGACTCCTTGCCATTGAATAATGATATAAAACTACTGCTGCGTGCTATACAGGTGAAAATGTTTGCATGTAACTTTGAAGGACGCAGAAATTATTGTTAGGTTTTCAATTGTGATTATACATCAAAGAAATAAAACTCATGAGACAAGAATGAACAACGAAAACATTCACCTTACAACGAAAGTTCAGTCCATGTTAATTTTGCTCAATCAGTCTAATTTTGTATCTTTATTTACACATTTATATGTTGAGAATGTATATTTGAAACTATATCCATATATATTTAAGTTGTACAATTTTAGAATTTGACTCTATTGTCAAGTAAAATTTGATGTGAATTGAAAAAGTGACGAAACGATTATAATAACAATTAATCCAGAAATTGCAATATGTTAAAATATTTGCACAGAAGATATGATTCTGATGTAATATGTAACAAAGTAAGCGACCATAAAGAATTAACTTACGATTCTTGATCTTTTATTTATGAATTGAGTAGATCAAAAATAAAGTTTGGAATTGTTTTAATTCACTCCACAACCTTCAGCTGTAACTTATATGATGATATTGGAATTATAACAATCTCTTCTAACACCTTCATATATTCTCAGGATAAAAAATATGATGATACATAAGAAGAAAAAGATGTAATGTATAGTTTGAATGAATCATTGGTGATTGGTATACGAAATCAATTTCAAGCAAGAAGGATGTGATTAACAATATAGCTCATAACAGAACATGACGTTAACATTTCCATGTCACAAATGTTATGTCAGATGTTAATTTTTTGGTTAAGAGTAATTACGTTAGGTAAATAAAAACCGATTTTTTAAACTTTTCATATATAATTATCATCTTTGCTTGAAATCATAAATATTAGTTTGAGAAACTTCGATACATATTGAGCAAATTTTAAATTAATGTGTTAAGCCACCATTTTAAGAATTTGAGTATGAAGCATTACCTCCACAATTTGTAAGTGATAGTTTTCATGATATATTCATCATATCTTGCAATTTGATGAAAGATTGGACTTTGGGTTAGCATTGTCGTTAAATCTTGACTTTGTTTCATTTCAAATATGCGGAGTGATATCTAAATATCTCTATTGTTACTCGTAGCCCAACCGAGAGAGGTTCAAAGCAAGTTATGGCTAATCCATGAGAATCTAGAGCATAATACACTGCTGGTAATACACACAGATACATGCCAATCCAGAGTTATGACGAAGTTCAAAATCTCGAAATCATTTTACTGCTATTACTTTATACCCTACCATCACTTCTTGGTTCCAACTTTCACCTACTATAATAAAAATGATATGTCTACGGAGTGTATATATGGGCTCGAATTGTGAACTTCCATCCTTCACTAGTATAGGTTCCTCAGTCATTACGGGTAATTGAGCTAAATACTCTGGAATAGACTACATACACGGATTCTATATTTTACACAGGATGTATTGGTTAGATTAAGGTGCATAGGCTGTTGTTATCTACAAAGCATTTGAACACGATCAGCATTTTTTTCGGCTGATCAGCAGGATCGGCCAAAAGCACACTTATATGATGAATGCATCATGAGAATTATCACTTACAAAGTGTTAATAGTGAATGGCCCCAGACTATACTAGAATGTATTCTAGTGTTAAAGTAGGCAAGCAGCTGGGATTTCTCTTGCGTTGTGGCTATGGATGCATGTTGATTAGTCTCGCACGTACGTTCATGAGTACGTGGGTCCTCGTATGTCATTCCGTGAACTGGACAGCCATCTTTGCTCCATCTTCTCCATTTCGCAAAGTGTTCAGATAAAACCTCAATCCTGGAGTTTACTTCAGATAATAAAAGCTTCTAATGAGATGTCTCTCCATGAAGGCTTTCTTTTCTTCCTGGAACACGGGTTTGATTGAAACATTGGCTGCAACTCTTGGAGCTGGAACAGATGCACGGGATACTTGGGACAACATAAACTGAAGGACTTCTTCATCGAGCTGGGGCCACCTTTGGGAGGGAGAGGACCGCAGTTTCTCAAGAGGTGAGTGAGTGTGACGCGTCCTCAGGCGTCACAGATCTGCGAAACCAGTTCAGATCTCGTCGTCAGAATGGAATCAGACTGGTCGTGTTCTTGCTTTTGCTCGTCGAGGCTGGTTCATGTCGTAGGGCCTTCAGCTCAACTGCAATTCAGTCCGACCAACGCAATGGGACAGGCAAGCATCAGATGTCACCGCCCTCGTCGTCTTCTGTCAGGTACACGCGAATTGTGTTCGAAGTCAACCATTTTCGCGATGGAAAAGGGGTTGCTTTCCGGCCTCTTCTCGAAACCGTCTGCCTGTACAAGATTGGCCCCAGAGTATGTGCAATTCCACCTCCTCCGTCGTTTACTGCCATGCCTTCTTCTGAGGAGCATGTTGAAGTCGTCCTCTAACTGCGGTTCTTACGAAACTCGCCCAGCCTGATAACGTGGGGTCTCCATCTGACGTGCTCTGTCATCTAGTCACTTGCCAACCATGATGGAGCCTGCGCTGATGAAGTCAATCCATTTATGTAGCCCTTGCTATGGTTGAAACGTTCTGGTTTGTGTCTCTGGACCGAATAATCCACGGGAGCTCGCTCGACTTCCTCCTCGTTGACAAGATTTCCAACTTCATTTGACACCATGTCCAAATGCTGCTCAAATTTCGGTCAAATTTCTGACGAAATGGCACCGAGAAGATCCGCAAGGATCGGGATTTTGGGGGAGTGGGGAAGGGAGGGGATGGGAGGTCCTAATATTAGCTAATACAGCTAGCCTCGTTCTGGACGGCCGAAAATTGTGTGCAGGGTCTGGAGCTCCCGGTGCGCATAGAGCGAGAGCGAGAGATTCACAGCATCTACGAGGAAGGAGCGGCCGTCATGATCCAGGGCCTCGTTCGGGGCTTTCTGCAGAGGAGGAGGCGAGGCAGAGACGAAGAGCCTCCCTCCTCCTCCTCCTCGGACCCTCCTCCGCTGCTGCTGACACAAGGGGCCGTGGCAGAACCATCACGTGATGATGCTCCTGGTCCTTCTTCTTCTGAACATGGCCATGGAGGAGCAGCCGTCTCGTTTTCGTCCTCGTCTTCTTCGTCCTCGTCTGCCTGCGCTGCTCCTGCTGCTGCTACTCCAGTGCCATTGCTGCTCCAGTCGCCAACAACAACAACAACATCCACACCCGAGGCGCAGCAGATCGTCCCAGCAGAAGCAGAAGAACCTTGACGATCATGCACACCACGCTGTCATTTGTCAATCACCTCCTTGTTCCTTCTCTTTTCTTCGTACTCATGCTCTGCTCGGCCATCTCCTCGCCCTTCTTCATCTTCACCATGTTCATCTTCAGTCATGCCCAACTGACCTGGATTTCTCATCCCATGAAACTTAGTACCTATCCAGCTTGCATATTATTTTTAATTTTCTTATGTGGTACATTTCAACTATTTTTTTCCCATATGTACGACAAACGAGGATTTTTGCTACTCTTAACTCACAGATTAACCATAAGTACTTTCGACTGCCTTTGAATCTCAAGTGGATTGTGATCAGTAACACTAGGTTCAGAATTTTCTCGAGAGAACTTCACAAGGAGTCAACTCCAAGTTGGGCTAGCTTGTTGAATCCACGTCCACTTTTGAACAATCCAACTTTTAAAGTTATGCTTAGTTTCTGAGTAAATGACCTATCACAAGGCATGTTCTCGATTAGGTAGTCTCTACTTTCATACTACTACTACCTACAAGGTTCAAAATAGATATATACACTTTTCGTAGCTCAAACTTGAGCTTCATGTTTTACTTAAATGATAAAAGTGCAGAGCAAGTACTGGTTGTTTTAAACTACTCGAGCCCTAAAGTATATTAGCTACTTAAGGGATATTCTTAACTCTAAATACTATTTTACTTGTTATGTTGCAAAACGTATTAACAAAGACATGTGCATTAACATCAATTCCAACTAACAAAAAAATATATTAAATACCCCTCCTTTATGTACTTCGTGAGTTTGTCTGTTTTTTTAAAAATATATAAAACTCACACCATATGTCTTATCCTAATTTCAGATTTTTCATTTTCTTCCTCTTTTCTACTCATGATTTTACACATAGAGATATGTTAAACACCACTGCTTGGAGGTTGTTATGATCATCTAAGTTTATCCAACATTTCTCTATAACATATCAGGTCATGAATGACTAATGAAGAGTCAGTAATGTAATTTTATGTCCTGGTTAAAGTCAATTATTTTGGTTGCTTCAGTTGATAGATATTTTGAGATCATAAAAGATACAAGAATGTATGCGAATATTTTTTTTCGTAATACTTTTGTCAAAAAGGATCAATTATAATTGTAAGAGCATGTTCATATAGTGATTCGTTTTAAAGAAATGACTTCATAATATTTAAGCAACTTGAAATGAGTGAATACTTACATTATCTACGATGGTTGACGTTATAGATGTACTATTAATAAACCTGGCCAAGTGTCCAAATCGAATTAAACATGTTGTCATATGTTATTGGTCTTATACTAAGACTCTCATGTCAACAACTTCATCTTTTAGTATTACACTAAAACCTTAAAACGTGTAAAAGAAAATTCCAATAGATATAACTACAAATATCTGGATCAAAATTTCATGTTTTCTAAATAGATTCATTGAATCAGCTTAGAATAACTTGATACATTACAATATTCATATATTTTTAACATCTTTGATGAATTAATGCATAATATATGTTCACAAGTGTTTTTTTCACTTGTTCTTTCCAATGTTAAGCAAAAGCAAGCTATATACATAATTTTCTTTCTAAAATGTTTCAGTTGTGTGGCATGCAATCAAAAGATTAATTCAAACAATCATGTTCAGTTAAAAATTTCATACCAATTCTTACATTTTTGTACAAATTAAAAAAAAATCAAAAATGTTGAGGTTAACGCCGGTCAAAGAGTAACCTAAGGTTATAGCTATTTATCGCTAGGTGTGTTGCTGACTTTGGGTATAAATATACCCCAAAGTTTCTACTCGGATGTGCATTCAGTATTCAATTGTCAGTAAATCACCTCGTGCGCTGTAGCCGTGGACGTAGCCCCCAGGCTGAACCACGTTATATGAGTGTCTCCTGTGTTTGTGCTTGGCTTGAGTCACGTTTGGTTTTACGTTTAAGAAATGGTATCACAGTGGGCTTACGATTCGGAATAGTATTCAGGTTTTTGTTTGGTGTTCTTTCACTTACACATACAGTGAAAAACTTGTTTTACTTTCTGAAAGTTTGTTAATAGAAGAAATTTTCAAATTTTTTTTCAGTTTCAGAATTTTGCTCGTGGTAGCAGTCCATGTGGTTATAGTCATGTGCTCGCACTCGTACGTGATTGGTATACCGTAGTCACGGTTGACGTGGTGATCTCAGGGAAAACGTGGTCAACAAAAAACGTGCTCGCCGGTGACAGCTCTGGCGATAACGCATGTGCCAGTAACAGTCCTAACGGTAATGGTGCAGGTCTTGGGCAACAATGATCGCGTGCAACAACAGTCGCGGGCGACATTGATCACGAGCGACAGGAGTCGCACGTGACGGTTTTTTCAATCGCGGATGACAGTGGTCACGGAGGACGGAAGTCGCGGGTTACGAACGTTGAATCACGGGCGACGGTGGTTGCAGGTGAAATTTCACTTATGCGGGTTGTTCAAGCCAAACCGGTTTTTATCCTGCAAATTCTTGTCGCAAAAGATTTTGTACTGTTAGTGAAATATTTTGTTTGTGCATATTTTGTATCCAACACTCTTTATTGGAATATACGCAAATTGGTTATTGTTGGAAAACTTTTGACACGAATAGTGCATTTTATCATTTTCAAAAGCTGAAAACGCATCCGAATGACAAAATTGACGTGGTAGCAGACGTCTCTAGTTTTTGTCAAACTAGGATGGCATCGAAACAAGTAGGAAAAACATGGTACAACATTTTTCCTCTTGATGGCCGAGTTGATTAACTGCTTTGGAAAAACAAGTGAAAAGCAAGCTAAGATCTATGGGTCTCGCTAATGTGCTTAGAGACAAACCAATGCACATTGCTAACATTGATTGGAGGGATTCACAAGAGCAAGCAGTATACATTGTGATGGGTTATCTAGATACTTCAATTATGAAGCAAGTTGAGGAGTATTCTAAGGTTACACAACTTTTTGATGCACTACAAAGACGTTTTTATCAGAAAGAAATATCACATGTCACGAACACCTACATGAGGGTGTTGAACTTCAAGATGAGACCAGTATCGAGAATTCAGTATCACATTCACGCCTACAGCGATTTGTTGGTAAATCTTTAGAGTATGGGAGAGGAGCTTTCTGACATTGAAAAGCTATGCATCTCCTTCACGCAATGCCTTCCTCCTACCTTACATTGTCAAAGATTTTTACTGATTCCTACTGATTTTGTCATTCTCCTTCATTGTGATAACAAGGTTGTAACTTACAACAAAATTGTAAGTGCTTTTCTGGTAGACGAGATGGAACAGGAGATTTTGTCATTCTTTCGCCCACTCACTTCAAATACTGCACTTATTGTGATCTGGGATCAGTCGCAATCATCAAGTATGGACAATTTGCAGCGTACAGGATTCAAACGGCAGAGATCTAGATCCCTTGAGCAAAAGAGAGTTCAGTTTCGGATTCCATCCCCAATCTAGAGTAAATTGAAGAACTTGGTATGTTGGAAGATGTGGCAAGAATGGCTTGCAACCTCTAAGCTAACTCTCACTAAGGTTTACCTCATATGGTTTTTTGGTAGCTCATCATGGTTCTAGAAGACTAGGATTCTCACTCATACTCGTGTCTCAAACACCCGCTCACACAAACTCTTCATACATCACTCGATTCACACAAATTGAATTACAAATCGATACTCCAAGATATTGAAAAACCTCACTCCTTCATTCATGAAACAAAACCTCACACAAAAACTCTTCAAACTTGATTGAGAGTTGCTACTCTACCTCTCTATTTATACTAGTTGAGAAATTACCATAATAACATGTGGTAATTTCTCCTAATTCACTTTTTCCTAGATATGATTGACTAACCCACTATACGTGGCAACATTTTATTGGCCTACCTAAACTTTCTAGAAATTTCCAAAATCTGAGGTTGAGGTGGCGACATGTCATTGGAAACTTTAAAACTTCTAGAAGCTTCTTACCCACTAAGTCACCATTAGACTTAATCTAGCCAATCATCTTTCATAAATTTAGTCAAACTAATTAAATCCAAGCTTATAATCAAGAGTCTAATCCCTTGAATCTAGACCTTTGTGAAAGACAAAATAAAAGTCTTCACTCCACTCTTCTAGAACTCCGCTAATAATTCTAGCAACTATATACGTTATAGCTAAACTTAGTTATAATTAACTAATTTAGTCACAACTAGCTTATGTCTTGGCTAATCATCATTAATCATTTGGCAACTTCTACAACTTGATACACATGTGCAACATCCGATCTCACAGGCCACATCAAGAAGTACTGTCGAATAATAGTTTGAAATGCGAATTTCTCTCAAGTGGCGAATGTTGCGGAGCATCTTCACTCCGAAGACGAAGATGTGTTTGCCGACGGTATATGATGCTAGAGGTATGGTTTTTGTAGTTCATCAACAGTTGTTGGTGATGTATGGATAGTGCTTGTTCCTATCACATTTGTTACATTAGAGAGTTCTTCTATAATTTTTCAGGATCAAACGGTTCCGTTCTTATGGAAAATGACCAACCTTGTAAGATTGAGGGTGTGGTATATGTAAAAATCCGCATGTTTAATGGTGTTAATCAAACATTGACACACGTTAGATTTATACCTAACATGATAAAGAACTTGATCTCTCTTGGAGTGTCAGACTCACACGGCTTAGAGTGGAGATCTAGGGAAGGCGTTTTAGATGTCAAATCCAGTGATAAAATGATTATACTTAGGGTATACAAGCACAATAATCTGTACTTATTAGAGGGCACCACAATTTGTGAAGAAGTTAACTTTGCCAGATCTCGCGTAGAGAGGTCTCATTTATGGCATTCCAGACTAGGCCGTATGAGTGATAGATACTTGTCTCTTCTTGATGAGAATCAAGTGGTATCGGGTTTGGGTAAAGTTGACTTCACATTTTGTGAACACTGCATCATGGAAAAACAGCATAAACAAGTTTTAAATTCAGGACAACTCTACTATGTATCTTCTACAGATGATTACTCCAGTTATGTGTGATTATATTTTCTTACCCACAAGTTTGAGGTGTTTTCCACCTTCAAAACTTGGCGCGTACAAGTTGAAACTCAGACTAGCAAGAGGGTAAAATATTTACGATCAGATAATGGCGGCAAATATACTTCTGAGTAGTTTCAAAGATATTGTACAGAGGAGGAGATTACTCATCACTTAACAACAATTTACACTCCCCAACAAAATGTTGTTTCTGAGAGACTCAACAGAATAGTGTTGGAGAAGGTGCGGAGTATGCTAAGAGAATTTGGTTTACCATGAGAGTTTTGGGCCGAAGCCGTCAACACTGCAATTTCTTTGATAAACCTCTCTCCTTGTAGTGCAATTAGTTTCTCCACATCCTTTGAACTCAGGCATAAACGGATGGTGGATTACAGTCGCTTGAAGCTTTTTTGTTATACTATTTATCCTCTTACACCAAAGCAGCGAAAAACTAAGTTAGACCCTACGTCCAAGAAATGTCGTTTTCTTGGATATGCTAGTGAAGTGAAAGGTTGCAGACTATGAGATTCACTAGCTCGTAAAAAGATTTTCAGTAGAGATGTTTCTTTCAATGAGCTTGGCTTATTGAAAGAGGGGAAGAACTCTAAGACTCCTCGTACTGACAAGGTGTTATCTCCAGTCACGGATGTCGTTGTGGGGGAGTTTGATCATTATATCACTAATGATCTGTCACAAGAAGTAGCACCGGTACTTAAAAAATAGGAGGAACATGAGCAAGTTATCATTGATGAGACTATTCCAATAGTTTCAGACGATAGAGATTAATCAAAAATGTCTACTATGGTATCGCATCGTGCTAGTAGGGCTCCTAAAAGATTTGGTGTATGGGCAAATCGATCCATTCTTAAAGATTTTGACTTTGATGTCATTGATGAGGATGGTATGGCATTGATTTTGGAAGAAGATGAATCTTCTTCATACATGAAAGCTCAAGCTTCGGTCAACAAGCTTGAGTGGAATGATGCTATGGAACGGGAGATGGAATCTCTAATTGACAATAAGACTTGGGAGCTAGTTAAACCTCCTACAAATCAAACGCTGATTGACTTCAAGTGGATGTACAAGCGGAAAACAATCCAGTAGGAGACAAGGCAAGAATCTTCAAAGCTAGACTGGTGGCTAGAGGTTTCATACAAGAGAAGGGTGTGAACTACAACAAAGTTTTCTCACCTGTAGCTAAGTATGCTACATTTCGTCTGGTATGTGCACTGGTTGCGATATTTGATCATGTTATAGATGAGAAGGATGTGGTTACAGCCTTTCTCTTTAGATATTTAGAGTAGGAGATCTACATGAGACAACTTGTTGGTTTTGAGGTCAAAGGCAAAGAGAGGTTGGTATATAGACAGTTGAAATCATTGTATGGACTTAAGCAAGCTCCTATGCAATGGAACAAGCGATTTGATGAGTTCATGAAGGCACAAGATTTCTTACGGAGCGTGTTTGATCCTTGTGTCTACATGAAGAAGGTAAATGATGAGACGTTCAATCTCATCATTCTAGTACTCTACGTTGACGACATGCTCATCCTGGCGAAAACCAATCCGATGTTGATGAATGCAAGAGTAAGTTGAAGTCTGCATTTAAAATGAAGGATACGAAGGAATCAGATAGAATATTGGACATGGAAATTCATAGAGATCATGAACAAAAGAGTTTATGCCTAAGTCAATATACTTGACAGGTTGAGTATGGTCGATTCCAAAAAAGTATGGACTTCTATGGCAACACATTTCAAACTCTCTGCATCTCAATGTCCTACCGATGTTGTGGAGAAAGGAAGAATGTCATGTGTTCCCTATGAACAAATTATTGGCAGCCTCATGTATTTGATGGCGTGCACTAGGCCGGACATTGTCTTTGCGATGGGCAAGATGAGCAGTTACATGTCAAATCTAGGGAAGATTCACTAGGAAGCAATGAAATGGATTATGATATATTTGAAGAGTACTTTGGATGATGGCTTCTGTTTGATGGTCTATTACACAATGCCAAATCCTTGTTTGGTTACGTTGATGCTACCTACGGACAATATCTAGAAAAAAGAAGCTCTACAACTGGGTATGTGTTTACACTTGGCGGTGGAAGCATTAGTTGGAAATCTACCTTGTAGAAATGCGTAACTCAATCATCAACGGAAGCTGAATATGTGGTAGTAGCAGAAGAGACAAAGAAAGCTATTTGGTTGGATATGATTATCATGAAATGTGATTGAAACAGGGTGTGATTTATCTTCATTGTAATAGTCAAAGTGCTTTACATTTGACTGCTAACTAGGTCATGGATAGCAAAGTGAAGCATATCAACATCATGTATCATTTTATCAGACAAGCAATGTCTGATAGAACAATTGAGCTAATCAAGATCAACGGTAAACTCAATCTAGCTGATGATTTGATCCAAGTTATTACTTTGGAGAGTTTCAAGCGACATTGTGCTACCATGCAGGTTGTGCATGGGGAGCACATGTAGAATTTGTTGGCATTGTAACTTTAGTTATCTCTTTATATATTTACTCTATCCTATGATGGCTAAGTAATTATATAGACTACAAAATCTCTAATTGTTCTATGCCAGCAGGTTATATATCTCGTCATGTTATTACTCTATCATGTTTTGGTTACGATCTAGTTCTAGTTAACTCTCGTATAAGGAGAGGCCTTGTGTTAGGTTTTAGTCTAGAACTTACCGCTGAGTAATAATATAGATTCCAGAAGTTACTATTTCCTTAACACAAGTTAAGAGTAAGATTGTTGAGGTTAACTCCGGTTGAGGAGTAATCTCAGGTTATAGCTATTTATAGCTAGGTGTGTCGCTGACTTTGGGTACAAATATACCCCTAAGTCTTCTACTTGGATGTGCATTCAGTATTCAGTTGTCATCAAATCTTCTCGTGCGCTTCAGCCGTGGACGTAGCCCCCGAGGGTGAACCACATTATATGACTGTCTCCCTTTGTTTGTGCTGAACTTGAATGACGTTTGGTTTAAGTTTAAGAAAACAATCAAATCAGGCAAAATATTTCATATCAATTTTTACATTTTTGCATTTGGTTAAGTTGAATTAATACGGCTTACACTTTAAGCCATACTAGCTCAAATAGCCATCAATTTGACAACAAAGCCAATTATTAGTCCAAAATATGCAAGATAGCAATAGATAGAATACAAGAGTGGACATTGTGTAACACAAGTCGTAACGTGGGTTAACCTTTGGAGTGCTACATCCACAACGGAAAATCTCACACGTGTGAAAGAGTGTATTGAAAGTATCTTTGACAATAAAATAAAATGTTTATTCTATCAAAAAATTTAATATATTTTGGAGATAAATGATTCATAAATAATTTTTCAATCATTTTTTTCAATATATTTGGATGCTTTTGTTTGCATATATTTAAATCATGTTAATTTATTGATATTTATAGAGAATTGTTAAATACATCACACTTTTTACTAAATACACCACACACTAACCATCTGGTTTCAAGCTCCAGAATGCGCGATTCTCGCTGCAAGCTTGTATGCTTGCCCAATCATCATTTTGTCCTATGAGGGTCAGGTGACAACCTTCTTACCATATACCACAGTGACTGGCGGCATGGAAATCACGTTATTGCATGTAAATGGCAATTATTGGCGAGCTCCAGAGCTTGCTGTAGATAGTACATTTGTGCGCGGTGTGGTGCGGGGCTGCTTGGATGGTGGTGGTGTGGTGTGCAGTGTGTGGTGTATTTAGTAAAAAGTGTGGTGTATTTAACAATACTCTATTTATATCTTTGAAGCACCTTAATAGTTGTATACTAACATGAAACTATTACTTCAAGAGTAATTTTTTAAATTTATGTATATTGATATCATGTCTAGGCTTTGGATTTTTTTAAATATAAGAAAACCTGTAATTCTAATGTTATAAAAACTGTTTATAACACTATTTCACATGAAAATCTGAATTCAATACTAAAGAATCCAACTTAATTCTTCTTCCAAATGATTTTCTTCATACACTTATTCAGTTTATCTTCTTCGAGTTGAAATCTCTAATTGTGTCAATATTTATGTGATGAAGCTTCAATTTCATATTCACCAGCAACTCATTGATGATGAGAAACGATAATAATAATGATTTTGTGAGTCAATTTATGCAAATTTTTATTTATAATCTTCTCACCGAACAAAAGATTCATCCTACATTTTTGAACCAAAGTGATTGGAAATTTGAAAAGGTATTTTGTGAATCCATTTTCTTAATTGATATGAGTGAGTAGTTTAATTATATTCCAAGTGTGATAATCACTAACCAAGTTGTAGCATTTTGATGTTTAAGGGAAGTATTGAACTTGAAATATGGATCGAAGACTACATTTCATGCTGCTTAATGACTTCTCTTCTATAGAGCATTATACATTTACAATGTGAAGAGATTGAAATTAGATACATTGAAAATTTTCTGTATAAATGCTTGTTACATTTTGTTGTGCCTCATCATTCTACCTCTCATCAAAAGAAGTTGTGTCACATTAAAACCAATGGCAATCAGATGCATGCGAATCTCGCAATTCCAAAACAAGAAATTTGGTTCTGGCTTGCTTGGCATGTCTAAAATTGTGCAGAGAGTTGGCACGGCAAGCCTCTTCTCTATAAATTTGACAACCATCACTCAAATTATCGTGAACCGTGGATCGAACCACGGCTAGCTCACAGTCAAACTCCGTGGAAAAGTAGGGCGGCACCGTGATCCGCGCAGCCATCCGTTGGCTTGGCTTGGCCACGATCCGGTCTGGACCGACGATTAACCGGTTAACCGGTCCCAAATTTCTCCGGACCGGTTAACCGGTCCGAAAAAAATTCAACCGACAAAAATTTCAGACTTCTTTTCATCGCTTCTCATTTTGTCTCCATGCATGAGGCTAGAGCATGACTGAGGAATGAATAGCTTGCAGATAAGCAACAAGAAATGTCGGCAAGCGAGATTAGATTTGAGGGCGGACAGGGAGGGAGTCTATGGAAGAAGAAGCCATAACTCGAATTACCGCCCCGCGCGTCCGCATTGAAAAACAAGGCTCTCAAATAACTCTCTGTCACACCATCTGACAAAATGGGAAAATCTGAATGACAATTTATCTAGAAGGACTTTGGTTTGATCTATCTCTCAAAATCTCGACTCCTAAGACCTCGATCCAGCTTGGATCCTCGATCAGGTGCCATGCAACGGATTAAAAGCTAGCTACAGAGGATTCGTCAGTAGATCGTGGGGCATCAGTACCATCCGTGCTCGATCCTTGGTCTCGTCGTGAGCCTTTGATTCTCGTTGAGCGCAGAGCCTCCTCTACAGCCCGGTAGGCTGTTGTAGACACAAAACAGCAATCCGAGTGAGTATGATATCGCTGAAAGTCGATATGATCAGTCGCTGATAGTATTTCAGATATCGCTGAAAGTTATCAATCCTGCATCCGTAAGAAAATATTTTCTTCGAGGCATTTCAGCATAACTTACCTGTCAAGGCAACCTTTTGAACTGTGCTCTTGATGGCCAAGATCTCGTTCTGGTGAGAGATAATAAACTTGTTCTACAGGAACAGAGGGGAAATGAGCACCATGCCGGGAAGAGTGCGACATAATTTGTGAGCTCTTACAACTAATTATTTCTATTGGTACAGATACTGGGAAATAGCACTTCAGTGCGCACTGACATCTGATTACTCATAGTAGGAAAAATATCGGACAGCGGCACTTTTTTGACAGGCTAAATTACTGCTATGCTCACACATTCTATAAACAAAGCACAGAGCTCCAGCTCCATCTTTGCTCTCCTCTCAACGTCAGAACTAATTGAAAGGTTTCCACAAGATGATATTATCTTTCTATCCCTCCTCTGTTGGACTCGTATTGACATCAGACAAAAGTTCAGCGCTGCGCAAGTCATTACCTTCCCACTCGAAAAGACGAATATCAACGATTGAGAAGGCAAAAACTCTTTCAGTCCCTTCTTATATTCACCACTAATTCCACTATATTACACTTAAGCGAGACGGGAGGAACTGCACACGAGTCCATTTCATCATCCATTTGAGAAATTTGATGGTTAAAAAATCATCATGTTTCAGAGTTCCCGTTTGAGTCTTGAATCTTGAACGTTCGGTTCGACCCGTTCAATCTTTCAGACCCTTTGAATTCGATTGTTTAGTCTTTGAGATTTGGTATATAATGGATTGAAGGAGGGAGCAAAGGAGCAACTACTGATTTGTGGTCCTTTTTGGGTTGATTACTCAATTGCTGATTTGTGGTCCTTTTTGGGTTGATTACTCAACTGCTGATTCCGTCAGTGAGAGTCACTGACTGCGAGGGACTGGGTGTACGGTGTTTCCCATCTTGGGTTTGCAGCGGATGGGAACAGGCACATAAATTACGATACTGACTACTCCACCAACTTTAGTGCGCAATTTAGAGACTACATCCAGATTTGCTGCCTACGAGCTTGCTCTCTCTTTGTCTGTCGCATTTTTGCTTTCCGCGAGCTTGCTTGAATCATTAATTAGAATCTTCGCGTGCCTGATCCTTCACAAAGTGCTAGTGCTGAATTGTTGTACCTGAATTTCTCTTTGTTATTCAGGAAAAAGGGATGTTTTTTAATCCATTGTTTCTGATTTTGCCTAATCAGAATCAGAATTAATTTCTGATTTCTGATTGTGATTCTGAAATTCTGATTCTGATTTTGGACTTTGCAGTACGTCCGAACGTTTTCCTCCAAGTCACACGGCCGTATAAACGGAAAGGTTGGGAGGTGAGTTCTTCTGTGCCTGATCCTTCACAAAGTGCTAGTGCTGAATTGTTGTACCTGATTTAGATAGATTTAGATAGATCAGATTGACATATTTCTATTGTGATCTTATTGGGGCTTAGCTCCATCCTAGCCCTTTAGTTTCATCCTTGCATGACTTGATTGGGAATTCTCATCCTTTTTGCCCTGCTACTTGGCACCCCCAAGATTTCAGATACCACAGCTCGTTTGTATTTAAAGTGGGTGCTTTGATACATTGCTGATTACATGTTCTTTACTTGCTGGGCGGAACATATTGATGATGGTGCCAATGTGGAGTTAGTACGCTCTATCCTCTCCGAACGTAGCAGTATACCAACTCTTGTCGCCCGCTCTGTATCTCAAGTGAGTCCCTATAAGAATACCAAAAGCAAATTTGAGCCATACATCAAATGCGCTGGCTACTTACATCTCAATGAACCATTGTCAAAATGTTACATCAATGCACCCAATAGAGAGTAGGGGTGGAAGCTCTTAAGAAATGGGACAAGTTGTCGTAATGTAACAGTTTTGGGCTTCATTTGCAAGCCTCGGAGTGCATAGTCATATTCAACTTCTTTGTTAGCTTTAAAAATTCCTCTTTATTTTTTTCTTGCATGGAACTGACATTGGTGCATGGCAGTTCCAGCACTGCAAATTTCTGAAGGCCCACTTAGAACGGAAGAGTTATTGAGAAATGTACGCCATTCTGGCAACAAAGTGTATGGTTAACTGAATACCAAGATCTCACCCCACTGATATGACTTTCCTGTTTGATTTTGTTAAGATGGAGGAATTGGCGAAAGGAGATGTGTTGTCAAAAATTGTGGCAGCATCTGCCCTGATTCTAATTCTGAAATTATGATTCTGATTTTTGACTTTGTTGTACGTCCAAACGTTTTACTCCAAGTCACACGGCCGTATAACCGAAAAGGTTGGGAGGTTAGTTCTTCCGTGACTGATCCTTCACAAAGTGCTAGTGCTAAATTGTTGTAGCTGAATTTCTCTTTGTTATTTAGGAAAAAGGGATGTTGCTTAACCCACTGTTTCTGATTTTGCCTAATCAGAATCAGAATTAATTCCAGTTTCTAATTGTGATTCTGAAATTCTGATGCCGAAATTTTTTATTCTGATTTTTGACTTTGCAGTACGTCCGAACGTTTTCCTCCAAGTCATACGGCCGTATAACCAGAGTGGTTGGGAGGTGAGTTCTTCCGTGCCTGATCCTTCACAAAGTGCTAGTGCTAAATTCTTGTACTTGAATTTCTCTTTGTTATTTAGGAAAAAGAGATGTTGCTTAACCCACTGTTTCTGATTTTGCCTATGCATGTAAACAGGCAGGACCTACTCTTTTTGGTGCTACTTTGCAGTACGTGCAAACGTTTTCCTCCAAGTCACACGGCCGTATAACCGGAAAGGTTAGAAGGTGAGTTTGGGTGTGTGTGATTATAATATGGTTAACGTTTGGCGTAGTTTTGTGTCTCGTATTGGTATTGTCTTTTATGCGACAAGTTTTGTTCTCGTTTCATGTTACATTCGTGACCAGTTAAGGCTTTTGTATTGATCATGTCATTATACTCTTGAGGGAGAAAATAAGTTCATGAATACTTCACGTTACTTGATGTCATGAGCCAAGGCTCAGAGGCGCCAGCGGAAAGCAGCAGACCCCTTCCGAAGGCACTGAGCCAGGTCATGTGAGTGAGAGTTGTCGTGGCCGCGGTCGATCTAATTTAATCTGATTCCGTGACCTGATTTCTAGGCATGTACCTGCACAAAATCGCGTAAAGGTAATTACTGAGACTTTGGTGGGACATAATTATTTTGTAACATAATTCATATCCACTTGTTTGATTAATTGGTTCAATTAATTTATTCCACTATAGGTTGAACTACTCCAAAAATTCCTTTTCTATATATTGAGTGAGTTAGGGTTTAGGATTTAGGGAATATATTCTAATATGTCTTGTACTATCCATGCAGATATTTTAAGGTGAAGCATGGCAGACCTTTCTCTCATTACGGATTCAATTCCATACTCGTCTCCAAGTACACATGAAGACTCTATCGTTCTCTCTGGTCGGACAGCGACAACATCCACGGGTCGTAAACAAAAGGCAAAAACCTCTGCAAGTTGGGTGTGGTAACACGCTTTTTGTTTTTTTTTGCAGAATTTAAACAATTTTAGAAAACAAGTACCGAAGCAATATCTGTAGTTAGAAAAGGGTACGTTAAATAGAGTGGATTGAGGAGATCGTCACGAGGACACGAAGAATCGCGAAGTCGGATGTACCAGCGCCAAATGTCTTCGGCGACTTCGGCAAAAGCTCCTTTTCTGAGGTGTCTCTACTCACGCGCTCCCAGCGTTTAAGGAAGCTACGCTGCCAGCGCAGACACCTCCGGAGGAGATTTTGCTAAAGACGTCAGAAGAACGGCACGGACCTCTGAAGGCTTCCGACCATGAGTGCGCCTTCGGCGATGCGCCGCTAGCGCTGAAAAGGAAACCTTCATAACAATCGAAATACACGGTAGTTCCAATTGATTGAAGTTGCATTGGAAAGAGCTCGGGACGCTTGTCCTAACGAGCCCAAGAGCGTCGGAGATGGATCAGGGACGAAGAAGTTATGAGCATTGGAAAACTCGTAGCCGGACATGCGCCGTTCGCGCTAGGGTTCACAGTCGGAAAGGACTCCCGTACGCCTTCGGCGATGCGCCTGAATCGCGCGCTCATGGGAGGAAATCAACTCAGAGTCGGAAGCGCCTTTGGCGGCTGCGCAACGGAAGAAAAGCGCCGGCCGGATGTACGCCTCCGACGTGGCGCGGATAGGCGGATGCGCTGGCATGATTTGCGCCGGCGGGATATGCGCCGTCAGCAATGGACGAGGCAGAACGGACAAAACAAGCGGTACGAATACGCGCCGGCGTAATTCACGCCGACTGGATGTACGCCTCCAGCAAGGCGCCGACGGATAAGGAACACGCCAGCGGCGACACGTCTCCGGTGATGGTCGGGTTAGGAAAAGACAACATAGCCGACGTATACACTGCGGCGAACTCGAGTCCGGAAGACGGTGGCGGCGGGAGAATTCAACATTCACGCATGCGAATGCGCGCAGTGCGGAGACGTGAATTCGAGCATGCAAGGGCGAACCGTTAGGCCGTATAGCCGGCTGCGTAAATTGTAACCAGTAAGAACGTTGGACGATCTTGAATTCGGAGAAGAAAAGACTGCTCTCCAGTCTCATTCTTTCATTCTTGATTTTGCGATTTCCAGCTTCCAAGAATTTGCGCAAGGGCGGAGAGACCTGCAGTGAGAGGGGAGAGTGCGGAGACGAGTTGTACAAGGATCTTGACAGACCTTGGAGAGAATTTGCGAGTAGCGAACTTGAGCGCGAGAGAAGAGAGAGAGACAGCAGTCAGTACTTGAGCGGCCGACGCTCAGCGGCGATTGTGAGAGAGCGAGCGGAAGGGAGAACGTTTGTGTGTGCAGGAAACACAATGTCGAAGGTCCCCCAGCTGCGAGTGTCTCCACTCAGGGTACCGCATATAGGTCTACGCGCATTCCAAGATGTGCTGATAGGGCTGAAGCTCGATTTCCTCCTGTGGGGATGGAACTGGACATGTCCGGAGATGGTGCGCGAGTATCTGCAGGAGAGACACAAGCCCTCACGCGGATTCCGTCCACATTCAGAGAGGTGGGACATTTGTGATTGGGCGCAGGTGTTGGGCAGGTGTGCCGGCGAGGAAGGGTATCTCCTCTTCGAGGCCGATAGCGTGAAGGTGTCCAAGGAGGAAGAAATCTCCTACAATGAGCTTTTCAAAGTTGCCAGGCATCCCAAGAACGGTTTCCGGACACGGGATTACAAAGATCGATTGCGGAGAAATGTCGCGACTGCATTGCTGCAGATATTGCAGCCGACCAAGACCGCTTACATGCATGGTTGGCAAGTAGGATTTATGGAGCTAGTGTTGTCAGGAGCTCCAGTGCATTGGGCACGGCTCCTGTG